CGGGAATTGATCTTTGGTTCGAGGTCTTTTAGTCTCGGGCACACGATGCCTCTGTATGTTTGCTTGTTTGGTCGCGATTGTAAAATACTGTATATTTTGTCCCAGCCTCGTATGCGATGGTGGATATCGAAATACAAGAGCTAACCCCGGGCTCGAGGACGCTATATATAATAGTGGCTAGATCAAAGATAGTCAAGACTTTGCGAAAGTCGAAGCCTTGAAGCTGTTCGACGATGGTGTCCTCCGTATCCCAAAATGGCAATCGCCGCTGAGGTTCTCGTTTGAGCTGCATTAACATGACGACAGAGCAATATATACTTATGAGCACGCTTCCCTTGTTTCACAACTGCTGGTTTGTCGTCGCAAGATGGTTACTCTTGTGGACTATCATATTCCAGCGCTTGTCGACATTTCGATCATTTCAGCCCAGTCATCTATAATCAATTGCTTATTCTACCAAGGCTATTTGTTCATTACAAACGAAGCAGTAATTCTAGAAGCTCCTATCAATTCCACTGCAATCTTGGCAAGGTTCTCAAATTGGAGATGTAGCGTTGTAGACATTCTCAACATTGCTTAGCGAGTATGTTTCGCCTCGTTCACCATCTGCGTGCCGTAAATCACACAGGTGTAAGATACATTTGCCGATAGAGTGGCAGGGAAGTCTCTATACATAGCCACTAGTATTCTCCATAGGCGGTCTCTCGCGGTCTCAACCACTTGTTGGACAAGTTGCTTGCGCTGACGTTCATCAGGGAGCGACATCTCCAGCCACATGGCTTACAGCACTCTAATTAGTTCACCAGGGGTAGCTTATCAAATATGCTCCAATATTGTACGAGATTACGACTCGTATAATCTCTAGAAAATATCAATTCCACCACTATTGGTGGTTCTCAGTGGCTGATTCGACAAGATATGGGACTAGTATCTGCTTAGTTTGGCGAAGCCGCACCTGCACACTGATCCAAATTGTATTTTGATAACGTAGCAGCGTCTAAACCAGAACATGGTTAGTAATTCCTGAACTTTATGAGGATGGGATTAGATTATTGGACCCCAAAGTGTTCCTTCGCATCGATCCTTGTTTTGTTGTGAGCAGTAGGGATGATCTCCATGGCCTCTTTTACTGCTTGTAATAGCTTCCACAACATAACATACTCTTACGCAGCATGTTTGTAAGTTCAGATGTTGGCTTTGGCTTGGCACTCGATTATGCAGTTATTAACTGCGAACCAAACGTTAGCTAACTGTCACAATGACGGCTCTTGCGCTAAGTACTAGTAAACCATGCGACGGGAACTTTCAAAAAACAAGTTGCTAATGATCTGATCTGAAAGAACCACTTTGTTGGTATGCAAGCATGCTTCCCCGACAACCCACATCAATCGACTGGACAACAAGTCCATGTACGAGTACAGTACCTATAGCAGATGCCTATGGCATGTGACTAATCTTCTTGTATTTGTAGTTCTCGCATCAGACTAAAAACTACACGTCTACACGATACGAAGTGCCTGGTCTATGTTGTATTCTTGGATTAGTTGCTGCGAAATAAACTACTACGGAGCTTGGGAAGATTGTAATATTAGCTTATCTTCTTACTTACCGGGACTCTGCCTAGCGTCCTCCATAATAACAGTTTGAGTTACTATCCCAGTAGGGAAACAAACATTCGACAACGTGACTGTGAATCCTGTATTCTTCTACAATCGCATCGAGAACGACATCATGAGACGTAATTTGATGCGCAAAGAAATTGTTGCGCGATAATACAAGGAACATGAGTCTCAAAAAGGTCAAGCGGAACAAGATGTTGGGATATCGCGCCTTAATACATACCGGCAAAGAGATTAGCATAGTGAGAAAGCATTTTTACAACGATAGCATTAAAGAATCATTTTGACAATTATCACGTTGGATGCGGGAGATTCATTTTACATAGCCGGAGCGGTTATCGGCAACATACTGTGGCAAAGCCAAAGCTTTACAGATAAATCAGATTGCTCAGAACATGCAAATGGCCTACATCCCGAAAAAGTTAAATCAAACTTTTGAGGGACTCAACATGGGGATTGTTTGTCCTGGATAGGATAAATCTGATTTGATCGAGGGCAGCAAGAGCCCGACCATTCTGCTCAGGTCCAAGTGCTCGCCAGCCTCAGTCTCAAAAGCTCAGCCTTCAGCACTCGAAACTTTACCGAAAACTGTTCAGCCCCAAAACGGCATAATCACAGCCCATGTATCAAAGGACTAACTATACACAAGTACCATAAATGAAACCCATAGGATACATAACAACATCCCATATTTGCAATCGAAAATGGTCAGGATTTGGTCAGCCCGGCCGGCTGGTGATGAATCATCATTGGACACATACGAATTCACAGGAAGGGTTAGAGGAAGGTCGAATCTTAGTACACGTGCCAGTATCCATGATCTTACAATTGGTATGATAGTAATCCGAAAACGTAGTACTCTATACGAAGTGACCCCACTAGGTCAAAGGTGCACAATGACGTTAAAGAGCCTAGCAAAATTATGGATAGAAGCATGATAGATTCTTGGTTGTTGAATCACACGTGGACTCAATTGGGTGGAGTGTTAATAACAGTACGTGGCATGTACCCATGCAACAAAGGCAAGCAGCCGAGTGGTAGTAGGTGGAACGAGTATGAGTAAAAGGCCAATTCCATGGTTGCTGTTTGTATCAGAAACTGTTGAAGGCCCTTGGTGATCGTACCATAGTAAGTCGGAGATACTACTACGGAGTAAGGGCAAAATTGCGAGTACGAGGCGCGAGCCATGGTTCCAAGTGCGTCTGCGTCTGTTGAGAGCCTTGCCTACCATATCATACTCAAGTAGGCAGAGCATAGCTGGAACTGCATTGTAACGGCCATGAGTACGAGGCGCGAACCATGATCATCAAGTCCATCAGTGACCAACAGAAACACAGATAGTGTCCACAAGGCTTAGAGTTGCGTGGTCTATGGTCAGTGGGTGCCCTACTGCAAGTGAAGTGCATTTCCCACAACCATGTTATAATTTGGTGCTCATGTAGACTAGGAGTATCTTCGGTCATATGATCAGTGTTTGCTGGTTCGATCTAAGCATTAGTTTACAAAATGGTTGTTAGCGTCAGCCTTGCGGCTAAGGGGCGGGTACCATAGTATGGTAGACTAGTGATTGTGAGGCTAGTTGTTAGTGAACCGCTCATCACAGATTTATGTAGGGCTGTGCACAGGTATCACTGGGTCTGGAATTTGAACTTTTTTTTGTATTCATGAGTAATTTCGGTACGTTGTAGCATGAACCACATGTCACTACCTGCTCTGCCCTGCGCCCAATCTCATTGGCAATGAAACCTTTGCAATGAGAAGGGTGAATAACTTGAAAGGAAAAAGGAAAAGGAGCTATAAGCTCTTGACATTGGGGAGAATGAATACCATGAAAGAGAAAATGAAAAGCAGCCATGACCTTCCTGTAACTCTTCGACAAGAATCTGTTCACCAAGTCAATGCTCATGTTTCCGAGTCCGTCGAGTTTGCTCAGTCTTTCAGGCTGTGCCAACGACTGCAGACTGAAGCGCTTTCTTCTTCTCTTCATCAGCCTTCTCTTTCATCTCCTCAGCCTTGGCCTCCTCGATCGTCAGAGCAATGTCCTGGGGGTACAGTCGGTACAAGTACCAGTGCTTCTTGGCGTACTTGATGGCGATTGCCGAGTCTGTCTCCGCAAACGTGGGCACCCGCTGGTTCGCAAGCAGCGACTTCATGTACGGGCTCTGGTATTCGCCCTTGGCAAGCGGCCAGTACTCCAAGCACTCGAGGTACGAGTGAAAGTTCCGGTCGGAATCGGTCTTGAGCTCAGCCTTGCGCTGTGCGCGGCGTTGACGCTCGAGGGCGGCGGCGGCTTCCTCCTCTGCGGCTTCTCGACGCTGTCTTTCCATGGCTTCCATGCGCTGGAAGATCTCGCGATGCTGCTTTTCGGCGGCGGCAGCGAGACGGGCGGCCTTGCGGCGTTTCTCTTCGAACCGCGCTTGCTCTTGTCGTCTGGCGATTTCGATCTGGGCCAGGCAGTCTTTCTCCAAAGCTAGTCGCTTTGCTGTGGCCATCTCCGCCTCGGTCAGGCCGTCTGCAGAGCGCTTTGTCGGAGCGCCCTGCTGACTGACCATCCTCCCGAGGGAATAAGCTGGTAAACTACTGCCTTGGTATTTGTCGTGAGGAGGAGGCGGGGGAAGATTCGAGTAGCCCTGATATTGGGCGGGAGGATGAGGATGTGGTAAGGTGCTCCCGGACCAGCCGAGAGCACCAGAAGACGGAGCTGATAATGCAGTCTGATACAGGCCTGCCTGCCCCATGGTAAACGCACTTGGTGAGTATAGCTGCGGGGAGTATGAAGGAACGGCCTGCTGAGCAGGTGCTGGCTGAGACTGGGGCGGAAGCCACCTGCCTCCCTCTTGCTGGGGGCGCATCTGCTGGCATTGTCGGGACTGGTACCCAGGGAACATGTTGGATATTGTGGTATATATTGTGATATTTTGGATGAAGGTATAGAGGATTGGAGGAAAGAAAAAAGGAGGTGGGAGGGTGTGAGCTTTTATGTGTAGAGTGAGCGCGTCCTTTACTTATTGAGACAACAGTTTGCGTTTGGTGGCTGCACCACCCATTCACCTCAGTTATCTTCGGCCAATGAGAAGCCATGATTCACAGTGTCACACAATATTCTGTTCCATTTGTATTGAAAAGTTCCGTGATCCTATTGTCTGGCGCGTCGTGGTGGGATTGGGTGAAATTATATTCCTCGCACGCTAGTGGTACAGTGACAGTGACTGTTAATAGCCTCCCAATTGTACCGGAGCAGAAGGGATATGGCAAAAGTCATGAGGAATTTTCTCAATTATTTCGGTGCATTATATGGGTCATGTGAACATGAGCCCCCATGTTTCTATCGTTAACATAGCTATTCATCCATTGTCTTTTTGACAGCCCATGATCCCAAAGCTACCCGAGATACATGCAAATGTGCATCCTCAGTCTTCAACATTAGAGACAAAGGCTTGTCAAGCCAACGGCGTAATAAGCTCTGTAAGAGTCAATCGAGTCCAGCTGTACAACTACCCGCGATGCATCCAGTCACGCGTAATCCTTCCATCCAACATGCTAGATGACGTAACAAGATGAAGTAACAAGTCATCGTACGGTCCTCAAATGCAAGCGTGTTGTCGTCGATTCTCAGTGCACTTCCCAAAAACAACCGTTTGGAGCTGCCCAGACTGCCTATACAGCGTCCTAAGTATCGTCCGTATTGCCAGTATTTGCGCTAAAGACTGAGCCCGGAGTTGTGGAGCGCGATGCGGCAAGTTCAGAGCTGCTATAATGACTGTACTTTGCTACAGCGAGCTTACCCTTTGGCGTCTTGGGTGTCTTTGGCGTGACAGGCGTCTTGGGCTCTTTGACTGTCTTAGACATCTTGGGTGTCCTGGGTGTCTTCGGGGCCTCTGAAGGTTCGTATTTCAACTCCTGGTCGCCTTCGTTCTGGCCAATGAAAGGGTACTGCTCTTGAATGAAGCTGTCCATATCAGGATTAGGAGATGGGTGCGTCGGAGTGCGGCCCGACTGCAAATCGTGGGCCAGCATCCAGACGTTGGAGAGTGTATACGGGGCCTGAGTCTCTTGACAGTACTGAACACAGCGGGAGAAGATGCCACCATCTACGCCTACTTTGGGATGCTTGATCATGCCAGTGCATAGGTTGCGCACATAGTAGTTGAGAGCCTGCGGGGACTCGTTCGCATCGAGACGCATGAGATCAGTGGCCAAGACGTCGTCGGCTTGCTTGTAGGCAGTAGTAAGATTATCCTCCCAATCTTCACCAAACTTGGCTCTGCCCAATTTGATCGCGGTCGTGCATTTTACCGAGCACGTGTTACGAAGGTAGGGTGGCTCGATTGTTCGGTGTGCATGGAGCGCGTCAACAATGTTACGAGGACCCCATTCGCGGGCGTACAGGCGGAGCGCTACGGTAGGCCGTGATATGGATTGGAAGAAGTAAACAATAACCTCTGTGTCCGTCAAGGGCATATGCGGGATCTCGACGAGGGACGGAGGCAGCATCTTGTCAAGGCTGTGCATCTTGCGCTTGTGCAACGATGTCGAAGATCTCTTGGTCAAGTTGCCAGGTCCGATTCGGCCAGGCGTCAACGGTGTCTGGGGTAGAGTTGGCAGCTGGACATTGGATGGATTGTTCTGATAGGCATGTCAGAATATGGTCATGGTAAAAATTGACCATCAGGTCAGACAGCAGATACATACAGTGGCTTTGGATAGAGGCGTGCCCGTCATGGGGGGAGCAAGATCATCTGGTATCGCGATCTGAAGCTGCTTTCGAATTTTCATGCGACGACCTCTGGAATGCTCTTCATACAGAGCGCGTCCGTCTGCCTCTTCATCACCACAATCACCGTAGTCACACGGTCCTTGCGACGGGCTACGCGGGCGTTTAGCATTGTCATTTCGGCGCCAGCTCTTGGGCTGCTGGATCACAGCAGTCTTCAACTCGTTGTAGGTGTGCGCGCCTTGATTTCCAAGCATGGACTTCAGACGGGCATTCTCGTATTCCACAGTGGCGAGGCGTTGAGTGAGGTGCTGAACGACGGACTCGATGTTCTGATTGAATACAAGCACTTCAGCGATGATCCCATCATGTTCCGCAACTGGCTATGTCAGTATGTTTCGCAAAAAGTGAAGACGGTGCACCAACCTTGCTGTCCGTTGTACGCGGTCGCATTGCGCAGACTGTCAACCCGAAGAGCGAGCTCATCCGTGTCGGTCTGTGGTAAGAGGACGGGATCGTCGCTACCGTCTATGATGGCGTTAACAGAACCGCAAATGGTGCAATCCTGGCTCTCCAGAGGAACCAGACGATACCCCGGACTGCGCAAACATTGCGCTGCCAGTTGGGGAGAGAGCTTACCTTGGACATTCGTCGTGCTCGCTACGAAGGGCAGGTGTAACCCTTGCGCGTCATGCGGTTCAAAGTCGTCTCGAAACATTCCGTACAGTATTTCCTGCTGAATGTGGTGGTCAGTCTTAATCTTGTGGCCAATACAATCCAGGTTACAAGACCTGGGGATGTTTTGGCCAGTAGAGTTTGTTGTGACGTTAATCTGAGGGGAGATGGCACTCCAGATGGAAAGTGCGCCAACACCACAGCAACGCGAGCGGGGCAGCAAACACTCGGGATCACGAACCTCTGAGTTCTCCATCTTGTACATGCAAATCGAGTCGTCAGAGTAGCTGTTTGGCGCGAAATTGGCCTGCGTCGGAACGCCTTCGGTGCGCATTCCTTGCAGCTCAGAGTCGTTGCTGTCGAGGGAGGGCGCAAGTAGCGATATAGTAGAAGGTGCGCTTGGAGAAATCGTTCGCAGCCTCATGTCTGAATCTTCGGTCGACTCTTCTCGTTTGATCGTAGGTTCAGACATGTTGTTGTTGGTAGGTTCGTGAGGAGGTCGGGTTGTATGGGTTATATAGGTGTATTTGAAACTCGAAAAAATCCTGTTGCCACCGTTTGTTTGCACATGACGCAACCCTAGTGACTTTGAAACGATGAATGTGACTGTGAACATGAATGCACCACCTCGCGATTCAAACGGTGATTGAAAAACTTCAAGTGCGGTATATGGAATTATGCCTCACTCAAGCGCAGCTTGCAGGGTAGTCTGCCTTGCTGCAAATACATGGTGCGGCGTGCTTGCGCTTGTGGCAATCGTCCATGGGATTGGCTTCGTCTCAAAGGCGCGAGAAGCAGACTACCTGCTACTCAGATATGCTGCTGCAGAGGAATAGCAAAAAATGACTTTAAGCCAAAGAAGAGATCGCGGAACAGGTAGAAAGGAAGCAGGTGTTACTTGGCCGCGATAACTCGGCTTGACTAGTGAGAATGAGGATGATAATGACAAGACAGCCAGGATTACAAGTGAGGTTGCAAGACCAGACGAATTTGAATGCTTATCAAGGTAAGAATTGAATGAGATTGGCAAAGGAGAGAAACACGATATCAGCATGTGTGAACTTATTGTAAGAGATTTGTCGTTGAACCCACACGCGGAAGCATACTGCGCAGATTCAATGAGTTGAGAGGATACTCTCACCGACTCCTACCTTTTTACATTGCTTCCACGCTGCACTCTGCGATCAAATGGACATATTCCAGCGTTGACATGGCGAAACTGTGAGAAGAGAGACTGTTCCATGGACCCGTCTTGACCCGAAAAAGATCACTGAAAACGATACTTTGCAGTAAATTCACCAAGAGACAGATTATCGGCCATCGGCAAAGAGGGAGGAAGAGGGTGTTTGATGTTGTTGAATGTCTGCCCTGACGCGTGCAGTTGATGTGACGTCTGGCTCTGACATGGGATGCGTTGGTCCGTGCGAAGTACCGTAACGTAGGTACCCATCGCTTTATCGAATGGAACTACAACTCTACATTCTACAAACCAAAAAATTGACAAGATGAAACGAGCACAGAAACACTTGAACCATCAACTCCAAGCCTAAAGACCCAACTCAGAAATAAAAAGACGAAAGTAAGAAAAACCACTTTCCAATCGCATCCGAACCAATCCCTCGAGCTCATCAAGATACCGAGGCTTAAACACATCTATCGATAAGTCCAAACATCCCAAACAATCAACCACAACATTGAACAACACCTCTCTTCCTCCCCAATCCTCCCTCCCTCAAAAAACCATGCCACCAACAACCATCCTCATCGTCGGCGCCGGCGCAATCGGCGCCTTCTACGCCTCACGCCTCGCCCTCGCCCCCAACGTCTCCGTCTCGGTAATCTGCCGCTCCAACTACACCGCCGTCTCCAGCTCGGGCTTCAGCCTGACATCCCCCCAATACGGAGACTACAACTTCGTGCCCGCACACACATTCCGGGACACCGAGGAGGCACGCGCAAGCGGCATCGCCTGGGACTACATAGTTGTGTCTACAAAGGCGCTTCCGGACGTGAGCGACGACAGCGCCATTCTGACGGGGCTGGTGGGTGGCGAGACGGCGATTGTGCTGATTCAGAATGGGTTGGGGGTCGAGGAGCCGTATAGGACGAGGTTTCCACAAGCCCCGATTTGCTCGGCGGTGACGATTGCGTCGTGTGCGCAACCGCAGCCCGGGGTGATTGTACACAATCGCTGGACGCGAATCAACAGCGGGCCATATCTTCCTCATCTCGACACCCTACCCAGCACCAACAGCACCACCACCAGTCCCACCACCACCAACGGCACCCCCCTCCCCACCGACCCAACCGCCATCCACAAAAACGAAACCTTCATCCGCCTCCTCGTCACCGGCGGCATCAAAGACGCAACCCCCTACCCGCACTCAAAACTGCAACTCCTCCGATGGCACAAACTCGCCATCAACGCCTCCTTCAACCCAAGCTCCGTCCTCACCCTCTGCCCCCCCAACCACACCCTCGCCTCCGACCCGGAATCCCGCCTCCACCTGCTCGCCACCATGCACGAGATCCTCGCGACCGCGCCCAAGATCCTCGGCGAACCCATGCCCGAGGACTTTGCGTCCCCCGAGCAAATCATTGCTAGTACGCTGAGGAATACGAGTGGTAGTCGGCCGAGTATGGCGTTGGATTGGCTGGGTGGCAAGAGGCTTGAGATGGAGGTCATCCTTGGGAATCCGATTCGTATGGCGAGGGAGAGGGGGTTGGAGATGCCGCGGTTGCAGAGTTTGTATGCGCTGGTGAGGATGGCGCAGCAGGTTAGGGAGAGGGAGGGGAGGGAAGCGAGGGAGGAGAGGGGGGGGAGTAGGATGTGGATGGGTGGATTTGGGTGTGTGTGTGTGTGTGTGTGTATGTGTGTGTGTGTGTGTGTGTGTGTGTGTGTGTGTGTGTGTGTGTGTGTGTGTGTGTGTGTGTGTGTGTGTGTTGCATTTTGGACTGGGGGGTGGCTTGGTACATACATGTGCATAGCATTTGGCACCTTTTCCTCACTTGAATAAATGTTTGATTCGAGTCGACGAAATAGATACTCCACAATCACACATAATCTCCCCACAAACCCAGCCTGCCACCCCTCTTACCCCTTGCAAACCCAACGTCCAAGATCAAGATCCGTACTCTTACAACACCCACCAAACCCTCAAATCAACCCCCCCTTTCCCTCCCCATCCCCCTTATCCGGCCCCACCGGACTCGTAGCCGCAAAAAACAAAACCTTGATAGCAATGGCAAAGCCGGCATGCAGGACGAGCACGACGATGAGGAGGATCTTGCTCGTCTTTGCCTCTGTGGTGCTGAGGACGGGGTAGAGGTTGCGGAGGAGAAAAAAGGCGCTAAAGGCAAAGCCGAGGGCGGCGAAGATGTAGTTGAGGACTGTGTGGGGGGGAGGGGAGGTTAGTGTATGAGGGAGGTACGAGTGTGTGTGAGAGAGAAAGGAGAGCATAAACTTACTACTAACCGGACTCCAACTCACCAACGCCACCAAAATCCAAACCAAATTCGCATACCCATACAAACAAGCACACTCCAGCAAATTCGCACTCTCACTCCCATACCACCGCAACACCGCCCACAACCCCACAGGCACCAGCCCCGTATACCCATACACCAACCCCGCCGCCCCACTCAACAGGCGGAAATCATAGGCAAAATGCTGTTTGCCCTGGCTAGCAAGGTACTGGTTGATAGTGCCGGTGAGGAAGAGGATGACGACGACGGTGGTAGCGATCCAGACGGGGCCGTAGAGATCGGGGTTACCTTCTAGGACGTCGAGGAAGTTTGCGCGGGGAAAGATGGTGGCGGTGCAGCGGCGGAGGACTTCGGCTGTGTCGACGTCGAAGGCTTGGGCGTAGAAGGAGAGGGTCCAGAGGTAGTGTTTGCGGGAGGAGGAGGAGGAGGGGGAGGAGGTGGCGGGGCCGGGGAGGAAGGAGGGGTTGTCGGGTTGGATTTTGGAGGTGTTGCGGGTGATCGAGGGTTGGGATTCAAAGTCTGGGTTGGGGGGGGGGTGGTGAGTACGTTGGATTTGGGTGTGGTGTGTTGGCTATGGAATGAGTGGAGGGAAACAAACAGGCCAGACATACCGGAACGATGAAACTCCAGATCCTCTTGGAGATCTGTATGTCCTAGGTCACCCTAGAGAAATCGAATCGTCAGCACGTTCATTCTCTTTTATTCTCCCGTCCCCATGCCATCCCCCCCCCCCCCCCCCCTCCCCCCAAGAGAAAAACATACCTCCTGGCCAACATCAACATCAACAACAAAATCATACCCTCGATTCGCCATACCGCGCGCTGTCAAAACGTCGACCTTTTTCGCGTAGTTTGGCGTTGTCTGGCGCAACAGGTCTGGCTTACTCGCAGCAAGTTCGCAGTGCAGCTGGCCAGATATGCCCCGTTGACGTCGGCGCCGGCGTTCGCGTCGCGTCCGTGCACAAGCGCACCCGCGGGGGATTCGGAGCGGGCGGTCGGATTTCAAGGGTTCACGGTACGCGGTGATTGGTTGGTTGGTTGGTTGGTTGGTTCATCTCGACCTTGCGGTGTTTTATAATGGCATTGGGAGAATGGCAATCTTGATGCAAGTCTAATATCTAGCGTTACGACTGCCTGCCTGAATTCAACGATTGTGCTCAAGCCTTGGCTGATGTGCCTATATCCAAGGCATTTTTTCGACATTTTCAAAAGGTGACATTGTATCGCATCGTCTCATGGCCACACACCTTTCATGACCAACACTTCTTCACACTCGGAACACGTGTATATATACCTACATCTACGGATCTATGCCTCTAAAGGCCATGTATGCAGTACCAGGTTACCGTAAACATTTCTCGCCAGTATGACCACCATCTACGGCTCCGGCTCGCCCTTGACCTGCAAAGGCTCAATGTTCCAAATCGCCTCCGCATACTCGTCGATGCACCTATCACTTGAGAAGAAGCCCATTCTCGCGACCGTGGTAATCGTCTTGGTGAGCCATTCTTCCTGGTTCTTGTAGCTCTCGTCAATGAGCTCCTGCGTCTTGATGTATGACGCAAAGTCGTCCGAGACGAGGTAGTAGTCACCGTGCTCGACGATGCCGTTGATAAGGGCGGAGAATTGCTCGGCGTCGCCAAACGCACCCTTGTGAATGTGGTCAAATACAGTAGCCAGCTGGGGATCAAGCTGGTACTGCGAGTAGAGATGAGCATGGCGGAGGTCCTCAACGTCTTCGGCGAGGTTACCAAAGAGGAAGATGTTATTCTCTCCAATCTCGCGAGTGATCTCAATCTATCGGCAGGTTAGTGTCCACTCATCGTTTCCAAGACAGTGAGCACTTACGTTGGCACCATCGCAGGTACCGATGATCAGGCCACCGTTGAGGCAGAACTTCATATTACTTGTACCAGAAGCCTCGGTACCAGCGGTAGAAATATGCTCGCTGATGTCGCTAGCAGGGCAGATAATCTCCGCCTTGCTGACGTTGTAGTCGCCAAGGAAAATGACCTTGAGCGCATCACCGACGTCCTTGTCGTTGTTGACCACATCACCAACCTTGTTGATAAGGTGGATGACGGTCTTGGCCATCCAGTATCCTGGCGCGGCCTTGCCACCAAAGATGGACACGCGGGGCACCAGCTTCTTCCTCTCCTCGGGCGACATGGCCTTGATTTGAAGATATCGGTGGATGACACCAAAGATGTTCAACTGCTGTCGCTTGTACTCATGAATACGCTTGACTTGAACATCGAAGAGGGCGGATGGGCTGACGGTGACGCCGTTGTGTTCCTGAATGTGCTTTGCCAGTCGTACTTTGTTGGCATACTTGATCTCCTGGAACTCCTTTCGGAACTCCTTGTCGTCGACAAAAGCCTCCAGCTTGTGGAGCAAGGTGAGGTCCTTGAGGAAGTCGTGACCACCAAGCTTGGAGGCGATCAAGGCTGAAAGCCTGGGGTTGGCCTGGTGCAACCATCTGCGAGGCGTGATTCCGTTGGTCACGTTTGTGAACTTGTCGGGCCCGTAGATCTTGACGAAATCCTTGAAGATGGTCGTCTTGATCAAATCGGAGTGGAGCTCAGCTACACCGTTGACCTTGTGGGATCCAATCAACGCGAGGTAGGCCATGCGAACCATCTTGGGCTGTGACTCTTCGATGATGGAAACACGCCCGAGCATATCGCGCTCCTTGGGGAAGTTGCGCTCGACGAATTGCAGGAAGTTGAGATTGATATCATATATGATCTGGTTCAATGTCAGATGTGAAATACTGTTCGCCGTCTTTCTCTCCACATACCTGGAGGTGGCGGGGGAGAAGGTGCTGCATCAGGGGAACAGACCACTTCTCGAGCGCCTCAGGGAGGACAGTATGGTTGGTATATCCAAAAGTCTTCTGGACAACTACATCCTGTCAGTGACTGTGTGTTGAGTGCAGAGTAGAATAAAACAGCCACGTACTGTTCCATGCATCATCCCACTCGAGGCCCTCGATATCAACCAAGATGCGCTGAAGCTCGGGAATGGCGAGGGTCGGGTGAGTGTCGTTGAGCTGGATAGCAACCTGGTTGGGAAACTCTTTCCACGCACGCTTGCTCTTCTTGAACCGTCGGACGATGTCGTAGAGGGAGGCAGCGCACCAAAAGTATTGCTGCTTCAGCCGGAGCTCCTTGCCACGCTCAAGGCTGCGATGATTAGCGTCGTTCTTGGAGAGCAAATACATGTAGGCTTACTTGTCGTTGGGGTAAAGCACCGCGGAAATGGTTTCAGCACGCTGCTGATCCGCTACCGAGCTTTCGTACTCGCCCGAGTTGAACTTTTGGAAATCAAACTCGCCACTCGCAGCCTTGCTTCCCCAGAGACGGAGATTGTTGCAAGCGCCAGTCTTGTATCCAGGAACTACCCAAGTCAGTAGGGTACCATGTGTGCTTCTGCCATTTTGACCTACTTGGTACATCGAAAGCAACAGCCTGGACAATCTCTCCGCCCTCCCACGAGCTCTGTGGCTTGCCCTCGTCGTCCTGCCAGCGGTTGACATGACCGTAGAACTGGATGTCGACGACAATATCATGACGCTGGAACTCCCAGGGGTTGAAATCGAGCCAGTAGTCTGGGACCTCGACCTGGTATCCATCGACAATCTCCTGCTTAAAGATACCATAGCGGTAGCGCAGGCCGTACCCCCATGCAGGGTAATTGAGCGACGCCATCGAGTCGAGGAAGCAGGCAGCGAGACGTCCGAGACCGCCGTTGCCGAGGGCAGCGTCATGCTCCTGGGAGATGATGTCTTCCATGCGGAAACCGATATCGCCGAGGCCCTCTGCAAGAGTGTTAGCAGAGCCAGATGGAATTTCTGGAGGATGTAGACCTACTCGCAGCCACCTCTTTCTGCTCGACGTTGAGCATGGCGTTGTCCAAGGCTCGACCCATCAAGAACTCGAGGGATAGATCTATGCACATCAGCCATTGGCTCCCAAGAGCAGTGTCCTCGGTGACTACCCACAGTATACACGCTTCTGGTCAGCAAACGTCTGGCTTTGCTGTGTCTTATTCCAGTCCAGAACCAGACGGTCCCTGAAGGCCAGCGCCGTTCCAGCATATGCAGCCGACTCATCGCAGTTGAAGAGCGAACGAGCGAGCGTCGTCTCAATATGGCGAACCGTGTCTTTTGTGAACTCGTCTGATGTGGTAAAGGGCTTGGGCATCTGTTGCGGTGGATGATCAGCACGACACATTCCATCTACCCTCTGGTACCCATCGAAGTGCCCCGCGCTGCGCAAGACGCTACCGGTACCGAAGAGGGCCAAAGAAGACTGACAAATTTCCTCCATGCCTCACGCTGGGGCTCTGGGATACTCGCTTCCACGCTCTTGATGTCGCTGGGGCCGAAACCCGTGACGGTTCTCTTGTGCTTGGGACGAGTGAAGTTGGCAGGACCGACAGGACCCTTGAAGTCGCTGAGCGGGGCGCTCGTCGAGGGCTTGCGCTCGCGGGGAGGAGGGTTTGCAGCCATGATGAGAGATGGAATGGCAGAGAAAGGGCGAGATTGGATGAGAGAGGGTCGCTATCTAAGAGAGGAGGGCGGGGTAGAGGGGTTGTATGGCTGCCGGTCCCGAGGAAGAAGGGCAATTGACAAAAGTCAGGCAAGAAAGGAGCAGAGGGGCAGAGCAGAGGGGCAGAGCAGGAGCTGCAAGCTTTATAAAGCCGATAGGGCACAAAAGTGCCAGGGTGAGTTGGGATCAGATGAGATGACGACGATGGTATTTGGGAAGAAACAGTTTCACAGGGGGGTTTTGGATTGGCGGGTTCTGGCAGGGTAGTGTAGAGTGTGGTAGTGTAGAGTATGTGTAGATGTAGGTAGCGTTTAGAAGATCTAAAAGCTGTTGAGGCTTGGGAACATGCATGGCATCGACCTGCGCGCGCTCACCAGACAGCCAGACAGCCAGACAGCCAGACAGCCAGACAGCCAGACAGCCAGCCAGACAGCCAGACAGCCAGACAGACAGCCAGACAGCCAGACAGACAGCCAGACAGCCAGACAGACAGCCAGACATCCAGACAGACATGGACGGGGAGGGGTAGGTAGAGTAGAACAGCAGAGTAGCTGGCGGCCAGCCAAACGCGCGACGCGGGGGGCGGGGCGGGGCAGGGCGGGGCGGGGCAGGAAAGCACTGCAGCCAGCTATCCCACACGTACCAGCTAAGCAGGCGCCAGAAGCTGCTGTCCATGCCAATACATTACACGCTTGTGCTTGTTGCATGCAAAAAGGGGGGCGTTTTTCCTTTCCTTCACCGCTAGCTGGGGTGGGAAATGATGTTTTTCTCTTCGCGCATCGCGTCGTGAACTTACCATTGAGCCAGGCTTGTCCTGTCTGCACAGCGAGATCTGACCTTCGCAGACGGAGGAGAAGTAGGAGTAGGAGTAGTAGGAGTAGGAGTAGTAGTAGTAGTAGTAGTAGTAGTAGTAGTCGTCCTGTGTTCCTGTTCCTGTTAGGCCGAGGGGTCTGGCGTGACGTGACGTCGATGATGATGGGCGGCAGAGAGAGCTTGGGCCACATGATGCATTTACCCCTCCCTTACCGTAGTAAGAGCAAGTACTCGAGATCGGACTTTGTTGCTCCCCACATCGGGTAGGGTACTGTAGTGCTGTACTCTACTCTACATACTCACTACAGTACATACCCCATCAACCGAGACAGACTGCTCGCGCGCTTGTCTCGGGCGGAACATGGATGACAATCACCCACGCCCTTGATCGCCCTGCTTTTCGTCCACGCTGTCGAGTTTGGTTCCAGGCCAAGTCTACGTTACGGTTCTGTGGTACCACGGGTCTGATGGTGTGCATTGTCCAATCATGTGCAAAGCACGTGACAGGTGCGTCCTGCTGCAACATGCCAGTGTTGGCACATGTGATGGTGCAGGCACGTGACGACATTCAACTGTCCAGTCTCCACATCACCCTCACACTACACATCCCCCGACATCCCTTTCGCACAACACAGACCTTTTCTATGCATCCAAATTCACTACCCCACGCAGTGTCCAAGCCAGGGAACATGACAGACATCACATTATACCGTACCCACCACCCTCGTGTGCCCACTTCAACGCCCTCCCAGCGTAAAACAGTTGCCATGCCCAAACCCCTTTCCTGCCCATGCCATGCACATGTATCTACCATGACCACATCATGTGCCCACCTCCCATCCATCCACCCTCTAGACTTCAACGCCCCATGATACCAACCATGAACCTGAGCTACGCCCGACAGCCAAACAAGAAAACAGGCAAGAGAGATGCAGGAGAAAAGTGGGTATCGTAAAAGGGAAACAGGCCGCTCAAAGTGAAGATGTGCATGCGAGCACCCCACGTCCAGAAACACCAAAGCAACCAGCAAAAGGAACAGGGCCACAAGGCAGACGGCAGACAACCTGACAACGCCCTCAAGGACTGGGCTCAGGAGTCTGCACACCATGGCACCAAAGCGCCGTGCCCGCCAGACTGAGCGACAAGTTTCGTGATCGGCTCTTCTTCACGCCCCTCGAAGCTGGCCCGGCCGCCGTCTCCTCGGTCGGCCTCGTGCGCTGCATCTCCCTCAGCCGTCGCCGGACCAGGTCATCAGAGATGCGAAACAGGCCATAGTCCATGTCCGACAGAATCGCCCGCTTGGTCGCCTCAATCTCCTGCACGGAGAACAGGCCCGCACTCTCCCTCACGCTCCAATGCCTGCTCGACCGCAACCGATCCACCAGCCAGCCATGGGCCAGCGACAGCGCAGCAAGCACAATCACGTCAGGGCTGACATGCACCGGCTGCCTCGACGCGTCTGTGCGAAGCATCTTGTGCAGCTCGCGAGCATAGTCGCTGCGAGCCAGAGCATCCCTCCAGCTGGCTGCAAAGCGCGACGAGAGGGAGTCGAGTATGCAAGCACTAAACGCAACGACTTCCTCTGGAACATTCGCCCGGTCTAGAAAGCCTGCAATGACCAGCGCATGGGGTCGGTGGGCGGAGACATTGAGTGGGACGAGGTTGGCAAGATGGCTCGCATGGACATCTAAGAATAACAAAGCCCATAATTAGCCTTTGTCAATGATTGTGGATCAGAGCAACGTAATGATGGATGCATTATGCAGGAAAACATTGCCAAGATGCATCAAGTATCAATTTTTTCCCATGGTGGCGGAATGGAATGGGATCCTGAGATCGATCGACAGGGACAAGGTCGAGAATTGTGGAGTTTGTGTCTGTGTCTGTGTGTGTGTGCGTGTGGGCACAAGAGTGTGTTGGGTGGATTCAAGATTGTATGAGCAGGGGGAAAAGGAGAAGAGGCTGCGGATGACGTCGGATGGTCGGTTGTTTATGCAGGGGACCGGTTCAAGCGGTCCGACTCGAGCATATTGACCGTCCAACAAACAGCATTCCGTAAACAGAACAGTAGCAACAGAGCCGATGACGAGAGGGAAAACACAAAGAATACGTACCATGTGTAGTTGCCTTTGTGAAGCTTGTGCGTGTCGATGAGGATGATGATGATGATGATGATGATGATGACGATGATTGTGTTTGTGACGGTGTCTCGAATGCTGCGGCTTTCGCTATGGCTTGCTCCTTTGCGGGTGGAGGGGTTGGCAAGTTGGAGAGAGGAACGTAGGACGCAAAGTAGATATCCAGCTCTTCCTCGGTCATCTCGCTGGTGGCAGAGAGCGTTGGCGAGTATTCCATCATGTTGGCCATTGTCCCAGTCTCCCAAACTCTTCTCATAGAAACACTGATCCAACTGATGGTGTTGCTCGGCCAAGAGTCCCAGGTATGGTGTCTTGCAAGCGACAGCAACAGCAACAGCAACAACAGCAACAACAACAAGCGACAGTAGCGTAGTCCCGTAGAAGAAAAGGTCTCCAAGTATAGGCTCCAATGTCGCCAGTCAGGCACTCTAGAAAAGCAAGCAACAAGTCGAAGGTAAACGTTCGCAGGCGGGGAGAAGAGCCGCAAACCAGGCGGACCTGCAAAACCCTATATACCGACTCCCCAACTTGCACTACAACGCACACACACTCACACACCTGCTTGCCAGTCTCCGCTCACAAACCCTCGAAACGGTGAAAGCGGGCTGACCAGATCCTGGCGTCACTTCACTAGTCGTGTGTGTGTGTGTGTGTGTGTGTGTGCGTGCTGTCCGCAGTGCCAACCCCCCCTGCCGTGCCACCCAAAGGGCCTCGCTAATGCCGCAAAGACGCTATGGTATCACTGGTATGGCGTGTGCCAGGCCCGCGACTGCGCAGAATCGAGAAGTCTACCCGGCTGCCCGTATTGATGTGGGAACCTTTTCAAGTTTGGTCGAGTGGGGGGAAGAGCGTGCTTGCACGAGGTCGGGGGCTTTGGTGGAGAAGAAAACCAGTCTCCGATCGGGAATGCTGCAGATTTTCAATGGTCGCGACTCGCAGTAACGATGGCCATGGTGGGCAACCGTGAGCGATGGCAATGTTCGAGACTCTCGGTCTACATAGTATACTATGCAACAAAGTGGCCCGTCTTACTATGGTAAACAGGCCAGACCACACAGTCGCAATATGTGTACACAATTCACTTGTACAATGCATGCGTGCCATCCCATACCAGTCCAAAATCTCACCTCCGCCTCCTCAAACCTTCAATATTGCCCGTGCAAATCTCCCCCATCCCACCGGCCCCAAAGCTGGAAACAGATTCCATCCACCTACCAGTCTCATTGGCCAACACACTCTCACACATACACAGCCGCGCCTGGCTCGCGAAACGAAACACTCGCACCAGTGCCACCAGACCCGCGAAAAGGAAGAAAAATCGCGGGTCGGCGGGAGCCCATGACATGGTGGCTTCCCGAGTTCCAGAAATAGTGGAAAGGGTCCATGTCGGGCGTACTGTAGTTAGGTACTGAGAAATGCTGTTGAGAATGTGTGCTCTTTGTGAATTCAAGTACCGGTACAGGTCGAGATTGTCTCTGAGAGAACTATGGTCATGTACCCATGGACGGTGGAATCGGCATCGTATTCGCAGCATAACCATAGACACCGTAGTGCACGTATACACTGTATAAATCATACACCCACTCACACCCATCCAATCTACATCCTCACTCTCTCTACTAACTACCGTACCTAACACATCTGCAATCCAGCACCCGCAACACCCACAAGTACCACCACCATCATCATCATCATCCCATCCCATCACGCCACCCCAGCACCATCACCATCACCAGCACCAGCACCAGCACCAGCACCAGCACCAGCACCAGCACCAGCACCAGCACCACCCCACCCAACACACACCCCGTATCCCTCAATCCTGCACACCCCTTCTAATCCCAATACACACCACAAGCAGTCTCGCATCCCAACTCTTGACTCTGACCTCTGACCTCTCTCCATCCCACCAAACCCAGCACCGCGGCTTCCCGCCTCTCACCGCTCCCTCAAACCTGTCCGGCCCACATACGATACAGTACCGAGCGGTGCCAGTACGAAAAGCTACAACGATTTGTGTCTCGTTCTCGTGTCCGTATACATGATCATCCACAGTCTCCGCCGTGTTCCTGCGTATTGAGGTAGGTGGTGCACACACACACACACACACACACACACACACACACACCATACCAGTACAACACAACCATCCCAACCCCCCCCCATCAGCGCCAAACCCCCAAGCTACCCTCAAGAACCGTGAAGCGCGGGTATAACGGCTACCTGCTCTACAACACCCACCCAACTCTGTGCGTTTTTCCGCACACGAGCGCATGGGCGTTTAGTCGGTTAGCGAGGCAGGCGTGCAGTGCTGGGGTGGATGGTGGCGGTGTGGCCGAGGAGGAGCCGGGGGCGTGGATGTACATAGGGTAGGGGGGATGGGGATGGGGATGGGGATGTGGAAATGGAAGTGTTGGGTCTGAGGTAGAGTAATGGGTTGGTGGTTGTGTTTGAGTTTTGGTGGGTGTGGGTGTACCGGTACAGTAGATACTCCTAACCCATGATTGAGCTTCACACGCGCAGGTTCTGCATCTATACCTACCATCCAAGCATACCATACCGTACTGTCCCATATCATAGACACAGTATACAAGTCCCAAGATATATAGTCTAGGTTTGTGTGTGTGTGTGTGTGGTTGAAGGTGGTTTCTAACTTGTCCTTGCCTTGTCTTGTCTTGCCTGCTTTACCTCTACATCCAAATGACACCATCCAACAAACACACAACAGCCCGCAAGATCAAACATCCCATCCCTCACCCATCCCTAATCAACCACCACACCAACCCCACAAAGTCCCCCTCAAACAAACCACAAAAAACACTCAATCAACCAGTCAAGTACAACACTTTATTTTCTTCCCCTACTCCCCTCGCTATTTTCTGCTCTATAGAAACACACAAACACACTCACAACTAGACACTACTACTACGACTACTACTTCCACCTCCAGCTCCCATCACCACACCGCTTGCTCTACCACACATACCCTCTCACTGCTTCGACGTGGGGATATCGTAAGAAAACGACCATCCAAACGAACCAATCACGACTTCTCCAAGATAAAAAAAAAACTGAATTACACACATACATCCACTGCATACTCATATCCCGACGCGAGCCGCAAGACAAGCACCACCGCTACTCATGACACCAACATTGACACTGACACACTGCCGTAAACGTCGTCATTTTTTTTGCATCGTCAACCACAATCATTCCCCCCCTACCATTCATCTTTTCCATTCAGCTGGTCAGGAAGAACGGACCCATGGTCGCAAGACCTATTCGCCTGCAAGACGCCTACTGCGCCTTCTTGGGAGAACCGGAAGGCTGGCCACCAACATAGCGGCGGATGTCCGTCGCATCAGCCGCCTGGCGCACAACATTCTTCAATGTGCCCCACGCCTGCTTGGCAGCAGGGGGTGTGCTCTGGTTCGCAAGCTGCGCATCCACACGAGCAGTGAGCTGGGTGATGGCCTCCTGGACGAAGCTGCTCTGCGCAACGCGAGCGCGGAAGAAGACTGTGTAGACGACGAGCAGGATCCACGAGCCCTTTTGGAAGAGGAGCGCGGAGCCGACGACGCGGAACCAGAGGGCAATCTCGAGCATGGCAACAAGTGTCATGGAGCCATCGTAGTACTCCTTGACAAACTTGCCAATGGCCTCGGAGGCACCGGAAGCAGGGGGCTTGGAGCCGGCGACGGTGGTGGGTGGGGGAGGCTGAATTGTGGGGAGAAGATTGGACCGCACATAGGTTGCGACGTGGAAGACGGAGTAGACTGCAAAGGGCAGGACTGCAAGGGGGATCTGGCGGGAGAAGAGCCAGACAAGAGCCATGACTGGGTAGCATCATTAGCACATGCTTGACATTGTGATGATGTTTTTTGGCCAAGGACCGAGGTCATCAAGAGGCCGGAACTTACTCAGGTACTGCACATTCTCATCAGCAGCCAAGGCCACAACGCCGCCCTGCTTACCGGCCCTCATGCGGGCACGGTAGGCCTTGTAGACGACAATACCATATGTGACACAGGCAGACAAAAAGGCAACGCGGTAAGAAAACGAAGCCCATTTTGACGAGTAGTTGAAGGTGAGGTATGACAAGCTGTAGCGTAGCGTCGTCAGCAACAGCATGACGTGGCCGGCGAACCAGGCAAACTGCAGCGTCTGCGCGAGGGCGGCGAGGCGTTGGCCCAGCGGGAGAGAAGCTGGCGGTGGAGGGGCCATGGTGGGCGGACTGGGACGGTAAGTCGAAAGCTGTCGTGTGTGCGTGTGTCCGTGTCGTGTGGGAGATGACTACGTAATCGGCAGCTTTGCAGCGGTTAGCAGAGCTCAGCGGAGGCTGAACCAGGGTTCTTTGGTGCAAACGCGGGGGGCGGGGAAGGAAGGCAAGGAGTCAATAGGGGGGAGTGTTGGCCAACAATGCCTCTGCTATCGTGTGAGGAGGACGAGGCAGGCAGCAGGCAAGGTGAAATCTGTCCAGAGCGCAGGTGGCTGGGGATGTTTCTGCCAGTGCCCAGGATGCAGGAGGGACCCACTGAAAGTTGGTCGGACAGCCTGACGGAATCGAGGGAGGAGAGGAAGAGAGAGAGAGAGAGAGAGAGCGCGGCAGAGAAGGGAAGCTTGGGAGCAGCAGCAGCAGCAGCAGCAGCAGCAGTAGCAACAGCGACAACAGCAGACTTACCAAAGGGATCCGATAAACAAGACGAGGTCAAAAAGTAAGTAACAGCACAGCAGCAATTATCTCTGTCAACTCGGAGGGAGAGGGAGAGGGAGAGGGAGAGAGTGTGTGAGGGTGTGTGAGAGTGTGAGAGAGACAAGCGGGCGAGCAGGCGGGGCTTGGAATTTTTAGAGTGCGCGGTGAGAGTGGGTTGGTAGTGCGGGTTGGTAGTGGTGGCAGTTGGCAGGTAATCCAGAGCAGCTGGGCAGAACAAGGACAAGGACAAGGACAGGGAGTGCAGAGAGAGGGCGAGAGAGAGAGAGAAGAGAGAGAAGAGAGAGAGAGAGAGAGCTGGAGAGGATGACGCCGACGTGCGCAAGCCCCGCCGTGGCTTGTCCTGTCCTGTTCTGTCCTGTCCTGGGCTTCCCGCTACCATTGCCCATGACCGCACCCTGACGATCTCATACACTGCACACTGCACAATTTGCACACCCCGTCAAGATTGGGAGAGTTGGCCTGCTTGGTGGAACCTTTGACGCTCGAGTCACCGACGCACAACACACACGTACGGCTCGAGTACAGGCATCGTGGCCTACTCCTAGTAGCCACCTCTAGAAAACCACCCACATGTCGTCATCTCGAACCGGGGAATGGGACTGCAACACCCAACTCCCCTTCACCTGCAAGCACACTCAATCACCAACCCGCCCTTTCCCCATCTTCATCACTCCCTTGTCAAACACAGCTACTTCACCTCACGCTCGACAAAAGCTACTCACAAATGAAATTCACTGCTAGGATGATGTGTAGAATACATGACGAGAACGCTTTACCCGGGACTCTCCCCACGCCCCCGCCCTTCTCTCTCTCCCCCTCTCTCCCCCTCCCTTTCTCTCTCCAAAAAAAAGAAACACAGCTGCTCAATACTAAATAACGTTAACTAGAAAATGTCCAAAAAAAAAGGTAAGAAAGCAAGGGGAAGCAAAGGGAACCGGAACGAGTGCAAATGATGTTGGTATCAATCCACCATCCCGGACAACAACTGCACCATGCCCAACATGTGAATCACTGTCCATCGCCTGCCCCCCCCAAAAAGTCGCACCGCTGTGTATTATCCCAGATGTCGATAGCACCCAGTGTCATCGTCAACCGGCATTATATTAAACAAGGTCTGGGGTAAGAGGGGTGCAGAGAACCGAGAAGAAGCTTTTGACCGGCCTTGGCCTCCCAGACGGGAAGCAGAGCCGTCACGCAATACGCCATGAGCTGCCCGAGCCTTAACGGAGAGAGAATCCCTTCCTCTTGCCCTTCTCCTCAATCGGCCGCCCGGATTCGATGCGTGCCTTCTTCTCCTCAAGCTCCTGTCGTTGTCGGTCGAGCTGGTCCTTCATCTCCTTGTGACGCGCGTACAGCTCCTCCTCGCTCTGTCGTAGCTTGCTCTCCTTCTCCTGCACCTTCTGCTGGAACACCATCTTCATCTCCAGCTCCATCTTCTGGAGCTTCTGCTCGTGCAGCGAACGCTCCTCCTCCTGCTTGACTGCAGGGTTGACCTCCTTGAACACGCTAGCGTCTTGTTGGATGCCCATGCCTGCAAGCTTCTCGGAGCGGTAGTTTTCGTAGAGTGCATTGTTGGTGTTCTCCTTGAGCTCCTCCATGTGGGTGCGGATGAGCATCTGGCGCAGCTTGACAAAGTCACAGTGCTCCTCATTGTCCACCTCGACAACACCCCATGGCAGCTGACGCCCACGGACCTTGCGACCGTCAATGGTGGTGACCTCGGTGTTGGAACCAACAACGGCGAATGGCACCTTGGCCATGATCTCCTGGTTCTCTGCAATGGTCTCTTCGTCGTCAAGCTCATACCGTGGTCCCTCGAAGATCTGGATCTTGTGGTAGTGGATATCCGCAAGAATCTACTCTGGTTAGCACAGCCGTGGTGGGAGTCATGGGCAACGCACCCTCTTCTTGTAGTTATCAATCTCATCGTCCGTAACGGTGTCGGCCTTGGCAATGACGGGAATCAGGTTGACCTTGGTGTGAAGCTTCTTCATCACTTCAATGTCCAGGGGCTTCAGCGAGTGGCCAGTGGGCTGGATGAAGTAGACAACAGCGTGAATGCGGTTGTCGACAATGTTGACACGGTTGACCTTGTTCTCGGCGTCCAAGTAGGCATCAAAGCGCTGCTCAATGTTCTTGACGATAGGATCCCAGGACTCATCATTGTTGATGAAGTCGCCGAATCCAGGCGTGTCCACCACGGTCAATCTCAGCCGTACACCGTTCTCTTCAATGTCCGCGCTGATGGACTGTATCGAAACTGTCTTAGAAATATCGAGGCTTCGGGGCTTGCGCTCCTTGGGTGGGTACAGCGAAGTATTGAAGAGGGTGTTTACGAGGGTTGACTTGCCGAGTCCAGACTCGCCTGGTAGAATGCATGAGTGACTTTGTAGATACAACGAGGTAGATAAGGAACATACCAACAACCATGACGTTGAAGTTGAACCCCTTGCGCACACTTTTGCGATGCCACTGGTTGGGCAGATTCGCGAATCCAACGTAACCAGTGAGCTTCCTGCGTACAATGTTCATGTCATTGGCCATGGCCGCCGCAGTCTTTGGGTTCTTCGCTGTGACCGTCTGGGGCGCAGGTGAGGTGCCACCGTTAGCCATGGAGAGCGCTTGGTCCATTTGGAAGCCGTTGGAGGATGTCGGGGGCGAGGGAGAGGCACGCGTGGGAGCAGCAGGGGATGCGCTGGGGGCTTCTGTGTCAAGAGTAATTAGTCTATGTTGGGAGGAGAAGCAGGGTTGCGACAAGCGGCAACTTCGACCCGTGTCAGAATTGCGTGGGGACTGCCGCACAGCACTGCCCTTATGTCTGAGGAAGCTCCATGGGCGCGCAGCTCGAAACAAGCAGCCAACGTCGCGTTGTGCAGTCCTGGCCGCGAGAGAGACAGAGAGCCAAAGGAGTGAGTGAGCGAGTGAGGGAGAGAGAGAGAGGCCTTACCCATAGTGTGGATAGAACCGCGTAGGGGGTTATGGACCGTTCGAGTGAGTGACTTCTGTAGATGCAATGTTGGGTCAGCGATTGCATACAATGATGGATGGCGTGAATGGTGCGTGGGAGCGGTAGCGGCGTCTGGCTGTCAAACAGCGGCGGAGCGCGACCGAGCCAGGAACATGGGAAATAGTGAAACACAGCGTTTTCGGGTTGGGTAGTGTTGGCGTACCAGTCAGCAGTGTGTAGATATGCTTTTCCGAGTGAAGGATGCACTCAAAGCAATGAAGGGGGGGGGAGGAAAGGGATTGGAAACGTTGCAAGCGACTGCGCAGGTAAATGGCGTGGTGTTGGGAGGAGGAGGGCTGCAGCGTTGGGGAGGAAGTCGTGGTTGTGCCGTGCTTTGTCGCTCGCTGCGAGGAAAGGGGTCCGCACAGGGATTGGGAGCACGACGCAGGTCGAAAGAAATGGGCGCTAAGACCAAAAAAACCAGAAGTCCCCGCCTCACGACCGCCTAGGAGACTGGAAGAAGACACAGAGAGAGAGAGAGAGAGAGAGAGAGAGAGAGAGAGAGAGAGAGAGAGAGAGAGAGAGAGGAAGACTTTTGGCACTGCTGGCTTTCGTTCGTGCTGCTGCTGCTGCTGCTGCTAATGCTGCTGGCTGCAATGGACGCGCAAGAGAATAATCGACTGGTGTGAGGCTGATGCACAAGGTATCCAAAAGTACAATGGCCCTGCAAATGGTTGCCAGGTTTACCAATTCTCTCTCTTCGACATTTCCTTGTTTTTCTTCTCGAGTCACCCTCTCTGTCGGACTGTCCAGTGTGCTCATGCAGTGGCAAGCAGTGGTGATCGCCTGTTCGGGAAGTGTCACGTGTACGCGTCTGATTGCACACCCCCAAGCTGGACACGGCAGGCGCGCACGCACACACACGCACACACACCAACCATTCCAACAAGGATCTGCAACCAAGCGGTGGATGGCTGCTCTGGAGTCTGTACTGTAAACATACACAGCACTTGCAGTGAATAGCTCGAGACTCGTTCCAAACTATGGCTTGCATTCACGACGCCCTAAATTCAAGAGTCTTGCCCAGCCCATGCCGCATAGGCAATCTCTCACGCTGAGGTCTCGTCGCGTGGCACCACCCATTGCCCAACATCATGTCTCCAAAGTCACGACTATGAGATTCCCCCTCTCATCCCGTACCTGTCCCATCACAGTGCGAATCCCTGCATCATCCACAGAGTCATCATTATCCAACCGATAACAAACTCCTGCGCATCCTAGGCTGCCTAACCATATCGTACACAACAACTACTGCAACTCAACCACGGGTATCCTGCAAAACGCCAAATCAACAACCCCCAACCAGACGCGTTATGCAAAGCTCGCCAATTGCCTATTGAGCTCACTCTTGTCGTACTTGACATACTTGCCCTTGCCCTTGTCAATCTCCTTGTACCGGTCGAAGAATCGGTTGTACAGTGGCTCGATGATGTTCTGCACCTCCTTGGACAACTGGCTTCGCACCTCTGGCTCCATGGCATACGACTGGTACTGTACCACCAACGCCTCAAAGCTGGTGTTGAAGTTTTTAAACTTCTCCTTGATCGCGTCCTTGTCCTTGGAGCCAAGTGACTTGACAATGGCGACCGAATCCGCCCCGCTCGAGGTAGGCCGCTCCTTGGTGCGGTTGGTGTATTGCACATCGAGCAGGTACCCTGATGGCTCCCGCCATGCTTCCAGGTACATGGCCGTGCTCTGCTTTCGCCAGTCTCCCAGTTTCTTTGCATAGCCTTCCATCAAAGGTGCCAGCTCAGACGACCGTATGATGCGCGTGATGATGGCCACATTGTTGGCCATGAAGACGCCTTGCAAGCTCTTGCCCTTGAGCAGCAACTTGGCCTTGCCAATCAGGTTCTGTAGCAGTGTATCTACAGTATCCGACGCATAGTGCGCGAATAGCTTGATCGAGTCTGGCCCCACATCCAAAGTCGTGGACGAAGCATTGGCTGAGCTTGTGTTCCAACCACCCTCGCCCAGCGATGCCAGTATCGACGATAGAGGTTCCAGATAGTTGGTCATTTCTTGCAGGCGTCGCATCGTCTGTGTCGTAATGTCCACGGGCCCTCCGTCGATGGGTACAGCGATGAGACCTTGGGTGCGTGATCTTGTGTCTTCGAGAAGCTTGCCTAGTGACATCTTGGACGTTTCCCGAATCGGCTTGACGCTGTCGTATATCTGGTCCTTTAGCGCGCCTGTTTGCTTCTGCAGGCGCATAGACAATGTCCGAACGAGACCGCATATCTCGTAGCCCAGGAAGCAGTCGGTCAGCAGGTTCTTCTGAATGTGCCCGTTGAGTTCACGGAGCGTCTTGTTGAATTCCCCGAGCGATGCCTGACACGTAGATGCGTAAACGGAGCTCCATTCGTCTCTCTCGAAGACATAATTGAGGTTGTCGTATTCGGCAACAAACAATCCTTCAATCGCTTGTACGTAGGTTCCAATACCATTGGTCCCCTTCTTGTATAAGGCGTCCGCCTGCACCTTTCTCGCAGTGCTGATGGACGCCTGCGACAGACTATTCAAGAGACTCTCCAGATGTGCGCCTCGGACCTCTGCGTATAGCCGCTGCGCCGGCGTCTGTGTGACATCGTTTTGTGACATCTGGGCGAAGGTCTTGGAAATATGGGAATTGATGTTTCGAAGGATCTGGAGCTTGTCCTGGGGTATTCGCGGAAACGGGTTTTCTAGGAAAAGTCAGTATGGTCGTGGTCATGGCCGTGGGTAGTCTTACGCTTTGCCACATATTCCAGCGGCTGCACTCTCTCCCTCGCACTGTCCTGCAAGATGCCTCTGAACACGTCTTCCAGTTGCTTGTTCCCCATCTTCAGGAGCCCACTCAGTTGCGCGACGGCCTTCTCGTTGGAGCGGAGATTGGTACGCTTGAGATCTGCCAGGGCTTGCGCAGTGCGGTCGAGAGAGGCAACGTAGCCGTCTAGGTCGCCTCGCCCAGGTCCTGCGCGAATGATCCTCTCCTCCTTCTCACTCTCTTCCCTCGGTGCCCGCAGTCTGTCTATGGCGAACAGGACGCGATCAATGTTGGAATTCGCAATCTGTAGCTTCTGCGTGTTTCCGTAGATGGGACTGATGGCGTCTTGCACGGCCTTTCCACTTGCATCCAACCGATTGACGGAGCCTTGGATCTTCTTGGTGAGAGCCTTCATTTTCCCCATGTTGGCGAACAGCACCTCGACTTCGGCACTCTCCTCCAAGAGGGCCGCTCTGCGTGGGGCGACCATGGCGCCGATGGGGAAAATGCGCCTGCCTCGGTGGGCTGGCTGCGGAAGGCGGTAGGTAGGGAGGTCGACAGGCTCGGATGTTGATGGTGGAAGGGCGGGCGGGCGGGCGGGTGGGGGTAGCTGCTCAGGTGGAGTGGGGCATCGGGTAAGACATGAGGGTGAGCATAGAATGATTCCAAAGGCGGGGAGTGATTATACTATGGAATAAGCGTATATCATTGTACAATGCAAAAGGGACGTGGATGTCCAACCAAGGACAGGCCTTGGTGGAGACTCTGGAGAGCTGGCTTGGAGACGGTTCATCGGAGGCTCGGAGCTATGATGGACCAGGATCTCAGCCAATAGGCGCCCCTCGGACCCCACCCGCCATCTAAAACCCCCTTCCCCCAGCGGGCAGACGCGGGGCTGGTCATTGGCTCTTGGAGGAGCGGGTACCAGAAATACTATTGTGCTCTACGTTACTCCGTACCGTCGCTAGAGATACTCTAGTAGCTATCACATGGCCAACCATGGACTGTGGAGGGACGAGTTCTGATTGACACCACATGTAGATCCGAGCCATTATAGTATTCCCTCCTACTCACCAGAAGACATGGTGTAGAGTATCTTATCTGTCCCACCCAATTGAGGCTGCATCGAGGGGTTCATGTACGCCGACGCTAGATGGAAGCGAAAAGGATGATCTGTGTGGCAGCAGGGTTACGGTGTGGGAATAGTACGTACATACATCAGCCGCCAGACAAAGCTTCTCCCAACCTCAGTGCTTGTGATGCTTCCAGCTTACAGAGGTATGGCATCTCTGCTCCTGGTGTTGGTGTTTGGTCGTGCTACTCTATCGGCCATCTCCAAGACATAGTGAAGGAGGAGCAATAACGTTGGAAGCGATGGGTGGTTCCTGCATGAGGGGGGGGGGGGGGGCTTGGCAGACGTTGTTCGCGCCATCCCGACACTGCCGTTCCGCAAAACCTGTATCAGACCACCTGGGCACTTTTCCACTGTTGCCGCCGCCTAGCTTTTCGCGGACCACCCACCGACTCCAAAGCTGCGTCATGCTGAACGCATTCTTGTAGGCCCAATTGGGCTATTTGCGCTGCGCTGGCTGTCTGCCCCCCTTCACTACTCCCTTCCCTCTTTTCTTTCCAACCTCTCTCTTCCTCTTCTGCATGGCTGGCCTACGCCGACCCAGCAATCTGGGACAAGGATGGCGACAAGGCACGCGTCGAGGGTAAGCTCTCGTCACTCGTCTCATGTGGAACCAAAAAAAAAAGTCCCACTGACAGTACATACAGATTACATATGCACCGCACTTCGCCGCCCAAATCTAGACTCACCATCCTGAGAGTTCGTCGATACGGCCCTCCTTGTCTCCTGGCGACTGCTACACTCGGATATCTCTCGACCCAGCCCTCTATATGGCCTTTTCGTCCCATCCACCTTGATGCGCCTTCCCTCAAGTCTGCTGCTCAAGACCAAAACCAGGACCAACAAAGGCCAACATCGGAACAGGCCGAAGACAAGATCAACAAACAAAATACAGACAAGCCTGGTGATCAAGATGCCCCGCCACAGACACGCAGGGCCAAGGGCTACAGTGACAAGGACGAAGATGGCAGCAATTCACAGTCAGCATGGCAGACCATAGCGAGCAAATTCCCCAGCGCTACGCCTTCGCCCTCTGCCATTGGAGATACCATCATCGACTACATCGTGCCAAGCTGGGTAAAGGTGCTGCCAGGATTTGTCCGCAAACTACAGAACGAGCTGTCCATGGCCCCTGGATCCCTGGCCGAGGAGATCTGGTACGAGGCAAATGATCCCGAGGCCAATCCTGAAATCGTCTGGGATGCCTCTGTCCGCGTTTCCGACGACCTCTGTGCAGAGGAGAAGGCATTTCGGGAGAAGAGGGCGCACTTTACAAAGGCAGCGCTCGCACGATATCTCGACATTCCGGAAGCCAACATACACCCAGACGACGTGCCCATCATCGCCATGTGTGGATCTGGTGGAGGACTTCGTGCCCTAGTCGCTGGCTCCGCGTCCTACCTGTCATCCAAGGAACATGGCCTGTTTGACTGTGTCACATACACAGCGGGCGTCAGTGGCAGCTGTTGGCTGCAAACTTTGTACTACTCAGACATCACTCAGCAAAGCCACGCCAAGTTGATTCGACATTTGAAGAATAGGCTCGGTGTGCACATTGCGTTTCCCCCAGATGCACTCGAGCTTCTTGTCAGCGCCCCGACGAACAAGTACCTACTCAGCGGACTCGTTGAAAAGGCCAAAGGCATACCAGAAGCCGAATTCGGCCTTGTGGACATCTATGGTGCTCTACTGGCTGCCCGCTTGCTCGTGCCCAAAGGCGAGTTGTCTGTGAGCGCGCGCGACTACAAAGTTTCTCATCAGCGTCGGTTCACTGACAATGGCACAAATCCACTTCCAATATACACGGCTGTGCGACACGAGATACCTTTGGCTGAGCAATCGGATACTATGGATGCGGTGGCCGCTGAAGCCAAGGCGCAGAGGGAAGCTTGGTTCCAATGGTTCGAATTCACCCCCTACGAAATGTGGTGTGAAGAGCTGTCAGCCGGTATCCCGACATGGGCAATGGGACGTGAGTTCCATAACGGCCGCACGGTTTGGCGAAAAAACGGTCTTGCGCTCCCCGAAGTACGGGTCCCACTTCTGATGGGCATTTGGGGCTCCGCCTTCTGTGCTACCCTCTCGCACTACTATCGAGAAATCCGGCCCCTGATGCGCAGCTTCCTCGGCCTTGCCAGCATCGATGCTATGATTTCTGAGCGTGACGACGACCTTGTGAAGATGCACCCCATTGACCCGGCCTCGATTCCCAACTTCGCCCTCGGAATGCGCGACATGCTCCCGCAGTCCTGCCCCGAAAGCATCTTCACGCAGAAGAACTTTCAATTCATGGACGCGGGCATGAGCAACAATCTTCCCATCTACCCGCTCCTCCGCCCAGGCCGCAATGTCGATATCCTCGTTGCCTTCGACGCCTCCGCCGATGTGCGCACAGACAACTGGCTAAAAGTGGCCGATGGATACGCGCGCCAACGCGGTATCAAAGGCTGGCCCGTGGGCGCAGGCTGGCCTCCTGAGAGCGAAACCCCCGACGAACTCCAACAAGACCTCCAAGATGCAGCAGCAAAGACTGAGGCGGATGCGCAATCCAAAATCGCAGCCGCCAAAGCCGCCGACGTCGCCGATGCTATCAAAGGCAAGAAGAAAGACCTTGGATACTGCAACATTTGGGTTGGCACCACGGAAGAACGCCAAACCGCGCACCCAGACGAAGAGGAACCCGTCTCCAAACTGGTAGAAGAAGACTGGGAACTCATGCGCCCCGACTCTGGCATCGCAGTCATCTACTTCCCCTTCATGGCTAACCCCAAGGTCCCCGGCGTAGACCCAAAAACCTCGGACTTTATGAGCACCTGGAACTTTGTCTACACGCCCGAGCAGATTGACGGCGTTGTCCGGCTTGCCCGCACCAATTTTGACGAGGGCGCCGAGAGGACGAAGAGGACGGTGCGGGCCGTGTATGAGCGCAAGAAGGCGCGGCGCGAAGAGCGGGAGAAGGAAGAGAGGGAGCGAAGGTGGCGGTGGAAGTTGAGCCAGGGACAGAGTGCAGGCAGGAGGGTGGGCGAGAGTGAGCATGGGGATCAGTTTAGTTAGGACAGTGTGGTGTGGTGTGGTGTGAAGAGTGGGTCAGTGGATGGACGTGGGAAACGTAGTGTCGCATTATACCCCTTTCCCCTTTGGATCGAGAATGAATCTTTTATAATTTTTGCAATTTTCTTTTGTACAATGAAATATAGGATCCCGTGAGGTATCAGCCTCGGTTCACACATATCCTGTGACGTTGACGGCTGTTTAATCAAGCTGATCATCATTCATACACTGTCCAGTTCAATCCAGTCCAATCCAATACACTTCCACCCCCGTCCTAAGCAAAACAGTCCAGAACAGAAACACTATCTCAAACCGCAAGACTGATAATCCTGATTACAACACACCGCCCAACAAACAAAGCACACCACACACTCCAAACCCTCCCCTCCCCTCCTGTCCACGCAAACCATTCCCAAAACCCCCAATACTCCAGGAAACCCCACCATACGCACCTCGCATGCCATACAGCAGAGATAGGATATCTTGGACTTCAAGAAGGCCAAGAAAAGAAAGGGAATTCTAAACTAGCGCCAGTGTTCAAAACGTACATCCGAGACTTGACGGGACTGGTCTCCAATGAGATCCGACTTTTCCTGCATACCGGCCGGTATTCGTTGCATTCATACGTTCGATTGCATGGTTCAACATCATGGGTCAACGCAATACTCCAACCCCCAACCCCCCACTACCCCCACATTCTCCACTAGCTACTAGCCCACTGGCAACGAGAGAACCACCGGTGTTGTCGTAGCGGTACCTGCGTTTTGAACAAGAGGTGTGGGAAGCGGTGGGAGTTTAGATGGTGGTGTCAACGGTATTGTCGGTGTTAACATGCGTGGCAGATTGGGAGGCGGTTTGACCATTGGTACTGCGGTTGATTCCGGTAATTGGGGACTGGACTGGGGTGAAGTGGTGGGGGCGAGAGCGGTGGCGTAGGTAGAAGGACGTGGCATTGCTGGTTGGAGGGTCTGTGTTGCTGCGGTGGTGGCGGTGGGGTAAGGTGTGCCTGGTGTGGTGTGTTGGTTTGTCAAGGTCTGAGTAGGTTGGGCTTGTGTGGACGAGAGACTGCTTTGTTGTTGCTGTAGTGAAGGAGTGGTGATTTGGGGGTATTGCTGAGGCGGGGCGGGAACGAGAGCGAGTGTGTTTTGGCCGACGGGAGGCGCAACGACGGTAGTTTGTGCTGGTGATACTCCACGGGTTCCGTTCTCTGTAGGCACAGACGTATATTTAGACGTCGACGCAGACGGAGCTATAGTCTTGCCCGCGAGTTTCTTGGGCTTCTTAAGCTTTGGCTCCACGGGCTGGCGCTGGTCCAAAGGAATGCAGAGTTCTCTATACATTTCTGTTGTTTTCCTTTTGATCTCGGCGTGCTCTGCTGCTGTCAGGCTGTCCGCCACCATACCCTTTCCCTTTTTGGAGCGGGATGACGGGATTTTTCCGTCATTTTCGCGATCTTGCAGTTTCGTACTCGGTGGGATATAGTCGTCTCCCTCTGTGAGCATTCGATCCACCTCGCAGTAGGGAACCCGAGAGGTGTTGTGTATGAGACCGTTGGAGGGATGCTTGATCTCGTATGGCACTGGGAGAGTCTGTGTGCGAGGGAGACTTGTGTATGGAATCCCAGTCGATGGGGATGGCTTCCCTTGGGCCGCTTTTGCTGATCGGGTCAAGAAGTTTTCGCGCTCTTCCAATGTATTAAGTAAAGAGCTCTGAGCATATTCAGGCCTAGAGGACGACATGAGGCCAGTTCGCTTGGGATTAGCTAACCAGGCCGAGTGTATTTCCGGGTCACGTGCAGTTCGACCTGCAACAGGATGCAATGTTGTCCTATCCCCTAGATCATGACGCATGCTTGCAATCATCCTAGATCGAGTTTCCAAGTCAGAGTGCCATGTACCCTCTTCTTCAGAAGGGTCCATCTTTCGAAAGGGATAGTCTTCTTTTGACCCGTTTCGCGTCGGCGATGCACCAGGAGCGAAATCCATCGGTGTCCAGACAGATTGTTCGCCAGATTTCCAGCTTATTGATTGACGACGTCTAGGAGCCGGTAGAATAGCAGTTGTGGTCACAGAAGTGTCGTCTATACGAGTTTGCGACCTTGACCTCGAACATCCGGCTGCGTCGTACCGATCGAGGCCTTCAAGAGGGGCTCGAGAGCTGCCAGCATCACCCACTACTAGCTGCCCATTGCCTGTAGCAATTGGATCGGTTTCAAAGTCAGACGCCGCAAACATCTCATTATCCAGGTTAGAGATCGAGATAGAATTTGATGACTCTTCAGCAAAGGATGCGAAACACTAAGATTGGTTAATGCTATTCTTCTTGCCATAATGAGCAGCTCAACCAAGTGGCTGCTCGAATTGTGGGAGCATGCTTGGGGGATAAATACCTCCGCAGAAGGTAATGGCATCTGCCATTCACCCAAAAGATTCCCTGCAAGATGGTTCTGTTTCAAGTAGCCAATAGCCCTGACTAATTCACGGGGAGGTGGGGTATCCGGATCCACGTGTGCGAGAGGGTTCAGGCGCCTGTACTCGAGGAGGTGTTCTGGAATTGTGCTCCAGACTTCACAACTATCAGCCATGCTCTGTGCAAGCTGGGTGTGGTTGAGCTCCAAAATCACTTGCACAGGATGGTACGGGTCGTGGTATTTGCGTGGCACCAACTCGTCACGAATCCGCTCGATGATCACCTGCCGCAGAGATGCGTAGAGTGATTCAAACATGATCTGCAATAAAAACTATTAGCAGTTACAAAACTTGAGATGAGGGGAGAAGCTGCCTCACCTTTTTAGGGCTGTTGTCATGCGCCCATCGCTCCTTGAGCTGCCTATACCACTCGGCCTGGGGATTCTCTATTGGTTGAGTGCAGGCATACAGGCAATCAACCGCCTGCTCGCACTCCTTGATGCCTTTCTGATCATTTGCCTCTCTCGCCTCCATCATACGCCGTGCGTACTGCTGGCGTTCGACTGACAGTGTTTGCGCGTCTTTTGGTTGCGCTGGACTACATGACCTGGTAGGGAATGCTGATGGTGTGAGGGTTGTGTATATAGATGGTGTTGTAGATGGAGCACCCGCTGATTGTTGCCATGGATGGGCTGACGGCAGGCGAGCCGGAGTGCCAGTCTCGTTGTCGCCCGTTGGATCATCATCTTCACGACGACGCTTGGTCTTGCGGGTCTGCCTGACGATTTGCGGCATAATTTGTGCTGGAGAGCGTGGTCGTTCGATTGTAATGACAGGAATTTGCGCTGGTGCCGGTTGTTGAGGTGCTGACGTTGGTTTAGTACTGTTGATAATGAAAATCAAAGGGCGTGGGAGCGACGGCGGCAGCAGTAGCTCTATTTGATGACTGTCTATGCCGGGGACTGTACCGAAATTATATTCGAGTCTCTTATTTAGATCGATTGTACCCGAACCGGGCTTGAGGTACTGCCAATCATTTTTAACACTAGCTGGATGATATCGCTGCGGCCGCTTTCGATCCTCTTTCGATCGAAGCCCATACGGCATTATTGACGGACACGCTACTCGAGAATATGAGAAAGTAGAAATATGTAGTAATCTGCCGACAAGAAAGGATGGTGATTGGGCCTTGCGATCGTCGATGGGAGGGCTGTAGAGTCTGGGCGTGGTTTGAGAGGCTAGAGTGTCCACGGTTGCATTGTGGCTCCTCTTAGCATAGGCGACGACTGAAGGCACCTGCCTGGGCTTCTAGACCGGAACGTGCGTCACGATACCACCCGCCGTTTGCGAATATATTTCATGAATATATTCAACGCTACCCGGCAATGTCCCGGAGTACACTGGCCTTAGGAGGTCCACCTGCACCCGCCGGGCCTTGGACCGTCACACTCAGTCACAGACATAATGTATATGATTGTGCAAATTGACTCGTGCCATATGATAGATCCTGGGTGTCAATTTTGTAGATGAGGTCACCAAGGTCAGAAGTTCAAAAGTCCAGGGAGATGAGAGATGAGAGATGAGAGCAGAAGCAATGAAAAGACTGTGGTTATGCATGCGACGTAACGAAAGAGCCTCCCGTGTCGTTTATTTCCCTCCTAGGCCGCGCAGAGAATAGGCACACTGAACGCCAGGAAAGATGCGGGGTATAATGCTGATAAACAAAACCGTAGAAATTGCATACCCACCACAGACTCCATATGCACATCGATCAACAGTCCTAAAAAGGTCTGACGTCCCGACCAAGAAAGCGCGCTGCATCCGACTCCTCCACACCGTCCATGTCCATGTCCTCATCGTCGCGGATGTGCTCGATAGTGCGCTTATTCTTGTTGTTCGATGATGGCCATAGCTGGGAGGTTGGACTGGTATCATCGCCACTCGCCATGTGATCGGAAGGTATTTGTGCGAGAGTCTTCGCAACAGAGCGCTTCGCAAGCAGGATATCCCAGTATGAGAGTAACATGTTCTTGATGTTGTCGTCAAAGTTGACACAGAAACGCTGGGCCTGACACACCTGCATAGCTCTGATATAGTCGAAGTTGTCCAGCATCGCCATGAGGTAGGCTGCAACCACCGCAGCGGACTTTTCGTTCCCCGACTCACAGAATACCAGAACTTTCCCTAGAATTGGCTGGCCGGTCTGTGCCAGCGCTTCTTGTCGGACACGTGCGATATGACGATTAATGAGGGTTGTCGTTTCGGCAAGCCGTCTTGTAAGGCTGAAGCAAGTGGGGACGTCGATGGTAGTGACTTCAACACCGAGTTGCGCAGCCGCCTTCATGGCGCCCACCAGGCTGTTGGCTTGGGAACGCACGGCCATGACCATGGTTATGCCCTCTTTCTCTATGAAAGCCTTGTCCTTGGCTGCCAGCATCGGTCCCAGGAACAGCCAGGGCAGGATTATCTGCGCCTGCCTCCGTGACTCATACGCCCATTCCAATACCGTGTTGGTATGGACAATATTTTCCAGAGCCGTCTCCTTGAGAAAAGACATGTCCACGTCGTCTGGTTCGCTGCCAATGGCAAGGTTGGGCATCTCACTGGCCATGGTGGGTGGGGGAACCGAGATGCGAGGTGGTGTGGGCAGGCGGTAGGTGTATTTGTGCTGGGTTCGCGTGGGATGACATGGGGTTTCGGACATGGTGGAACAGACTCGCCTTGCTCAGCAAGACACGCGGGAAAAAAAGTGGACGTTGAATTTGGATCTGGTGTTGTGGTAGTGACTGGCTGGCTGGCTGGCTGGCGGTCGGTCGGATGGTTTTGGTGGTTTTGCGGAAGGGGCTGGATTGAGGCGTGTCCAGTCGCGCCTAACGTGCCTTTATGTATGATTTGTAGCAGTAGCACAGAGATTTTGGTCCCAAGTGGCTTGCTCAGTACCCAGGCTGCAACTGCAATTCACAGTGTAAGAGTGAATGCCACAGGTCCAACTCCAAGAGGTGTTAGCTGTGGCGGTCACAGTGGGGGGAGGATGCCAAGGCAATTGCGACCGTCAGCTCATGGGAGCTTTACAATACAGACGTAGCGGCAGTGATAGCAGAAGAGACAAAGGCATCACGAAACGGCGAGGAGCGGTCACAGCACTGTTGGACATGAGGTTGCAATCTTGCTGGCCTGGAACGCGGGAGTGCTAGCCTCATGCAGACGCGGCGAGTCCCGCAAAGGGTTCCCGGAGCGCCGCTGCAGATCTGGCGTAATGACGCCGGTAAGGCCGCGAATCCGCCGGCCTCCATCCCGATGCAGCCAATTCACTCAACCTTTACCCACTCCTTGCGAGCACGAGCACAAAAATTCAAACAGTCACATACACTGTCGGTAGTACATCGGGTTTCATCACATCTATGATCATAGCGGCGTATTCCGTCTGCATCCGGCTTACGGTACCAGATCAAGATCTTGAGATCACTACCTGTAGACTCTTCTCCTTCAACTATATTTAAATTCTGTCCGACGATGGATACCTGTCCAAGTTTTCCCTTGTGACCTACACAAATCAGTTTACTACTTTAGCACATCATAGACTTGATCTGTCCTCTCTATAGTCTTCATCTTCAGTCGTACCTCTCCATCCAACCTTTTTTCACTCACCGTCTTTTTCTGGGGTCAACTGTCGTCAATATCGAAGCTCTCGCATTATAACAGTCACCGTCATTATGCCTATCCGCCCCGCAACCCCAACAGACGAGACTGCTCTCGTCGAACTCTGCACTGCTGCATTCTTCGATGAAAGCCTCTTCGGCCAGACTCTACATCCCTACCGCCACAAGTACCCCGACGACGTGAAAATTTTCTGGCACGAAACAATACGTAGGTATTTTGCTACTCCTGGTTTCGTTGTCCTTGTTGCTGTGCGAACGAATGGCAACGGTGAGGAGAAAATAGGTGGTATGGCGATATGGGAACGGCAAGGAGACGATGAAGGGGCAAAGAAGACAAAAGAGGAGTGGGTGGATTATGGTATGCTTGATGAAGCCCATGTGAAATGTGAACTAAGAATGAAGCAGGATCCTTCCCTCCCCTCTCCTCAACCCAGAACCGTGCCGCAGATCCCACAAAACGCAACATCGTCGACGAATGCATGCTCTACGGGGCACACTTTTGGTCCGGTGACCGCGCAAATAACTGGTACCTTTCCCTCTGCGGCATTCACCCCGACTACCAAGGCAAAGGCGTTGGCCGTGAATTAGTGCGGTGGGGACTGGAGAAAGCAGCACAGGAAGGGGTACCCGCAAGTGTCGTTTCGAGTGATGGAAATGATGCCTTTTATCTGCGCTGTGGGTTCGATGAAATAGTCGGGGATGTAACGGCGGGTGAAGGGAATCCAATGTTAAGTGTCATGGGAGGAAGTGTGTTGTTCAAGTGGCCCGAAAAGATGAGTTGATGACGCTTTTATGGGTGTTCTTGGTCTGCTATTTTCCAGCTTTAGAATTCTGTCCATGCCAATTCGTACGGAGTTTGTTTTAGGAAAAGGTGGCTAGAGAAAATCTGTCAAGTTTGTAAAACATTTCCACACCATCATAATGACTTTCCATGTGCGTTAACAAGTATCCCTCATACACGTCCTCGCAGCCAATTCTGATCATTTATAACGTTCGGGACAGTGTAATTATTTGAATGGTAAAGACAAAAGCGTGATATACACGTGATAACCTACATGACACAACACTAGATCATCAATTAGCTACCCACCCAAGCGTCACGAAGCCCAAAATACACAAAAGTGCCAATGTGGGGAAATCCCAATCGCTTCCCCCGACCCCACATGGCTAGAACCGCGATTCTGGAGTCCAGATACCCCTCGAATCCCCAACCTTAAAGCCACATCCCTTCCCTTTCCAACCCAAACGAGTCTCACTCCGAATGTATGCCCTGAAAATGACAAAGACGTCATCATTCACTCTGGTCTTGTGGGTAAGTTACACGACGCCGATGTCCTGCTTCACTCAACATCTGACCAATCCTAGTCTAGTGGTATGATTGTTAGTACACCCATCCCTCTTGGAATAGTTTCCTTTCAGGGTTTTCAATAACTAATTTGGAGACAGCTCGCTTAGGGTAATACCCGAGCATTGCTTGCGAGAGGCCCCGCGTTCGAGTCGCGGCAAGACCCTTGTTATTTTTGCTGGGGCGAAGGCTGGAGGCTTAAAGGAATTGGAGATTAGAAAGTGGTTTAGGTATGCCGTCATGGTATTGTGGGCTACTCGTTTCGTTGCGCCTGACTGCATTCGTGGAGCAAGAAAAGATGCTTAAGGGTTTTTTTTAACAACTAGGAGTGCTGTTGATCCTTATTGCTGTTTCCAATTGTAGTCGTCTAGAAAGGATGTGGTGTTGGATTCAAATTGCCATAAAAACAGTCTTCGGGAATTGATGTCTGCTCTCTGCCGAACCAAGAGTTAGGTGAATTAGAGTTGACATCGTGTATTAACGCACACGTGATTGCGCGTCGTTCCTTGTAAATTAAGCAATGTGTGCTATTTACTCTCAAGCTTGTTCAGCACCAAAGAACGTTTCGTCCGCCATAAAAAGGCCTACGTATTGTAACAGATGTCTTGATCAACGTAATTCGCAGGGGTACAAACAAAGCCATTAAACTTCCCGACGCGTCGCGCTCCCCGATGACGCAGATGATCTTTTGGCTAGCGCGTCGCCCTTTGAACTCCACCATCGATCGCATCGCGTCTTCGCTACCCCTGGCGCTCAATCAACACTACCCTGATATGACAGAGGCAGTTGTTTAATTTGCCTTCGCACATCATAGTACTCTATATCCGATATGACATCGTCTTCTGCTACGAGTGCAACACAGTCTACCCCTACGTCCTCGCCACCACCAGTCGACATGGACAATGAAACCGCGTCCAGTGCGATGCAAAAAGAGGAAGAGCGCATGAGGGCACAACGCGAGAAGAATGACGCAAAACGAGATGCGCAATTGGAAAAGGAACGGCAAGAGGACCTCAAGAGTGGCAAGGATGTTCTGGATAAGAAGTTTCAGCAACTGGAGTTCTTGATGAACAAGAGCAAAGTGGGTAACAACCTAATCTCAATGAATACGTTCGTTTTATTACTCAGGAATCCTCCTAACGATTATTCTTTAGTTATATGCGACGGTAATGCTTGCACAAATGCAACGACAAGAAGACGAAGAAAAAGCACAAGACGAAAAGACCCAAGGGCAGAGTTCGAAGCGCGAACAGAAAGCTGAGAAAGCAGCAGCTGAATCACAGCGGCGAGCCACACGCGGCTCCGTAACGAATGGCGCACCAACACCTAACCAGGAGCCTGAAGACACCTCACAAAAGAAGAAAGGGCGTGGCAGGCCGAAAAAAGGAGAACCCAAGATATCAAGTTACTTCAAGAAAGCGGATGTGGAGAAGAAGACGGATAAAACGAACGTTACAGAAGCATTACAGGATGCGGCCGACGAGGACAACGTAAAGCCGGGCGAAATCGGGATGCAGAATCTCAAGTCGGCGCGACAACCGAAACTGGTGACGGGAGGCACGATGCGTTCATATCAATTGGAGGGTCTCGAATGGATGCTGTCACTATACGAGAATGGCATCAACGGCATTCTTGCTGACGAAATGGGTTTGGGTAAGACGATCCAAACCATTGCCATGCTTGCGCATCTTTGGGAGAATAAATCATATGGACCCTTCCTTATCGCAGCACCCCTCAGTACAACGAGCAACTGGGTTGCGGAATTCAAGAAGTGGACACCGAGTATGCCAGTCATGCTGTATCACGGTGATAAGAAAGAACGGGAGAGACTACGCAAAACAAGGCTTAGGAACCCGGGAACTGACCAATTCCCTATCATGGTCACTAGCTATGAAATCTGCATGAATGATCGCAAGTATCTCACAAGTTTTGGATGGCAGTTCATCATCATTGATGAAGGACACCGCATCAAGAACCTCGACTGCCGCCTCATCCGCGAGCTTCAGCAATTTCAGTCCGCGAATCGTCTGCTCATCACAGGAACACCACTACAGAATAACCTGACGGAGCTTTGGTCGTTGTTGCATTTCTTACTCCCAACCGTGTTTGATAAGCTCTCTACGTTCGAAAGCTGGTTCGATTTCTCTGGCTTGAAAGACAAGTCGAGCTATGAGAGCCTCCTATCAGAGGAAAGACAACAGTACCTCGTCAAATCGCTTCACGCGATACTGAAACCATTTCTGCTACGCCGAGTTAAAACGGATGTGGAAAGTCTTATGCCAAAGAAGCGCGAATATGTCCTCTATGCGCCTCTGACTACCATGCAAAGAGAACTATACCAAGCCATCCTTGATGGCACGAGTCGCTCGTATCTCGAAGACAAAGCAGTTGAGAGACTCAGCGTTGGTCTTCCCAGTCGAGCGGGAACGCCTCTCAGTGTTCGTAGCAACAATAGCAGCCTTAAGCGGAAGGCATTCGACGGCGTTGATACACCCAGCAAGAGTGCAAAAACATCACGAGCAGATACGCCTGCATCAATGGCATCTACTCGGAGTCGCGCAAAACCAAAGAGGAACTACGAAGAAGTCAGTGACTCTGAATACTTCGATAGCCTTGAAAAGCCAGAGAGCGCATCATCAGAGCAGGAAGAAGAGTTGGATTCGGATACGGAAGAAGATCGGATCCGCGCCGCAACGTTCGAAATCGCAAAGCGTCAACTGATGCAGAAGAAGCTCGGTAATCCGATCATGCAGCTACGTTTATGCTGCAATTCGCCCTACAACTTCTTCAATCCCTTCCTCAAGACTGAGATAGAAGGATCCGAGACATTTGCGAGCGAGATCGAGCCTGATGAAACCCTAGTATCTACGTCTGGAAAGATGCTGCTCCTTGACACTTTGCTACCAGAGCTGATCAAACGGGGGCACAAGGTTCTCATTTTCTCTCAATTCACCACGACGTTAGACCTTTTGGGACAATACTTGGATTTGAGATCGTGGAAGTATGCTCGTATCGACGGATCAGTTGCACAAAGTGATCGTCAGGAACAAATACTCGCCTTCAACAAGCCGAATAAGTCGAAAGATGCCACAGACATCTTTATTCTATCCACGCGCGCGGGAGGTCAAGGTATCAATCTTGCAGCAGCCGACACTGTCATTCTCTTTGACAGCGACTGGAACCCACAGCAGGATCTCCAAGCCATGGACCGCGCTCATCGCATTGGTCAAACACGGAATGTCATAGTTTACCGCTTCGCAACGCGCAACACTGTGGAGCAAAAACTGCTCGAATCAGCTGAAGGAAAACGCAGGCTCGAGAAGCTGGTCATTCGCAAAGGTGGCGTTCGCAACGAAAGAGGAAAAGCAAGAGGGAATGACAAGGAGCAAGAAGTCGAAGAGCTGCAAAAGCTTCTGCGGCGAAGCGACGGCGAAAAGTTCGACATTGAAGGCACCGAAGGCGGGAAGCTCATGAGTGATGCAGAGCTGGAGATTCTATTGGATCGAAGCGACGATGCTTATATCAGTGCTGAAGAAGGTCTCGATACTGGTGGTGAGGGATCGATGTTCAAGGCCGTCGGAAAGCGAGAGGAGGGTGCGCTCATGGAAGGACTACGGGCCGTGTGAGGCCAGCTTGTCAATAAGGCACAACCTCCGAGCAAAACCTAAGAAAATATATGACCTTGCAAGCATCATATCTTCCGTGGATGAAAGAGCAGTCAGCATCTGCCGCGCCGCGATGCGTTCAATTCGCAGAAATGCAGCTTCCGATCGCGCAGGGGTGGATTGACGACTCGCCCCCTATTTAGGCAATTCGGATTTATGCATGATTTCACCCAGTCCCGGGACAATATTGTCGCATCCCGCACGTTACGGACATAAAATCGCGTCTGTCATGTCGCTGCCCCACCAGATCTAGGGTGTAGGGCAGGTATCACGGCATATTGAGGCTCATGCATGTCACACAACGAAGTCGTGGATCGACATCACGAACGCACCATGCAAGGATACAACACCAGACTGAGATGGAACTTGAAAATCGGGGCTCAGTAGAAAATACATTTATCGGTACAATATCAGCGGTGGTCGCGAACTTGATCACGTCACAGCCTCTTCCACTGATAGCCGTAAGAGGCCCCACAACCTCTTATTTCTATATTAGCCATAACGTGGGTTTCTATTAAACCCCAGGTACCTTAATCTATGTCACAGGCCTTGTAAACATATACTCCTTGGTACTGTATTCTAATTGGTTGCTAAACCCCTTCTATTGATTCTTCCACGCTTTTTCTATTTACAGCCAAGTACTTCTATTCTCTATGGACTTGATTGCGCTGGAACGGCGTTCCTGCTCGCCTATACAGTTTCGCTCAGCCATGGAGGATCCGTATAATACCTTGATGCCTCTGCCACCGCTGGGCTGTTGAAGATTGCCCAACAGGTTCCAACAGCACGACTCTGCAAGATGCGGTGGATAACTTCCAGCCTTACTGTGGCTCTGAGCCTGACAGGACCGGCCGTCTCGGTATTAACTCCACGAGCGAGAATTGAGGTGGAACACAACACGCGAATCCCCGCACTTGATGGACTACATAAAACAGCCTCTCAGCCAGTGGGAAGGCTCAATACCACGATATCTTTACATCACTTCGACACTCGTCAGACAGCTGGACGCTGTGGAGCAGACTTTGGTGGCCAGAGATGTGGGAACAACCAGTGTTGCTCGTCCTATGGGTATTGTGGGACTGATCCTGAACATTGTACGGAACATCTCCTCGAAATATATAACCAGCACTTCTACCGTACTGATAAAACTAGGCGCTTTGCTTGTAGGATGTCAACCTGACTATGGCCGATGTGGTGATGCGCCAGAGCCCACTCCCACACCTACACCAACGCCTACCCCAGCACCGCCATCTAGCCCACCTGTCATCTCATCATCGAGCACAATCGTACCCACGACTTCCTCAGTCCTCCCGCCGCTCCCCTCTGGAACCCTTATCGTCTCTCCAAACGGACAATGCGGTAACGTCACGACTTGCGCTGGCTCAACCTTTGGTCGCTGCTGCTCAGAATACTACTACTGCGGTAACTCCCCTGCCTTCTGCGGTACAGGGTGTCGCCCTGGCTTTGGCGCCTGTGATGGCGGTCTCCCTCCTATCGTCTCTTCATCGGTACCTGTACCTATCCCCCCGACATCGAGCGTTATTTCCTCGTCGTCGTTGTCGCTCTCGACCACGTCAATCAATATACCCACCCCAACATCCACCCCAACACCATCCTCAACAGCAGCACCCGTTCCAACCAACGTCAGTACGAATGGCCGCTGCGGCCCAGAAGGCAACGGTATGACGTGCCAGGGCTCATCGTTTGGAAGGTGCTGTAGTGACTATGGGTGGTGTGGAAACCTGAGTCCAGACTTTTGTAGCGTGGCTTGGGGCTGTAGACCACAGTTTGGGTCTTGCGGCTGAGGGAGGGGGCCGGTCGGGTGTTGCCGTGGGGCGTTTTGGGGGCGCGGCTATGTAGTGTGGGTGTGGTGGTGGTGCATGGATGGAGTGGCCGAGGCTTTTTAGTGTATATTACTTGGACGCAGGGTGCAGCCGATAAGTAGGCAAGTAGAAGTTGCATAGCATGCTAGAACAGTAGGCGATCAAGACTGATTGGTATGAAGCACTTATGGATAAACTTATTCGCTCTAGATGCATTTCATGCATCGTTCACTAGCTGATGGTTCTCTCGATTCGTTAGTTGCATTACTGGTCTATGGCTCCGCATGCCTAGGGAACACTCTAGAACGAACCGTTCATGTGTGCGTTCTTTGGCTTTTGTAAATGACATTCCTATGCACTCTTGCTTGTTCCTGGTAATATGCGTGGTGGCGTAACCTCCGATGGCACAGCATCTAGTAGAAGCCATGGCGTGCAGCCATGGTGTGTTATTTATGTAACTTCTTCAGTATCAATACTGCCATTTTCAATTGAAGCTGCTTATATAAAGGTGACACCAATGATAGGCATGTCATATTGCACGTGATTGATAACGTACATTGCGTGTGAGGTAACTGTGCATCCTTTGGCTATTATGCTCATAGCGTACTAAGATTAAATTATGTCGTGTTTCAGTAGTTCTCAGTAGTTCTGACATGTATAAATCTTGTGTATCCTCATATATATTTAGCGCGTAACTTACGTGAATCATGGTAATGCTCAGTCGCGTGCATAGGCTCCCTAACCTCCTTTGTAGCTGCGCAAGCTCCTTGAGAGCACCACTCAACCAATCTCGTAGAGTACACTACACATGAGACTTGCCCCTTCTAGGCCTTTGGTCACAGCACACGATACTAGAGCTTCGTCAAGGTTGATAGGCCTCGGTATTTCTCCGCTCAAGGTGCATGGAGGTGGGCAGCAAGATCGACCGGTGGTTCGGTAAGTTTGACTTGTCCAAGCTATTGGATACACCTAGTTGTTTGTGGGGTAATGGCAACATGAATTAGGTTGATCGGAGTCGTTCCGCGCTGAGTCGGTCGTCATGGCCACAACGAGTAGATTGTTAAAGTAATACTACGATACCTAGCACTTCGCTACACTGTCAGTCTGGATCAAGTTAGTCATATCAGGCCATGGACTGAAGTGGCTTTACACCTCTCGACTTATTGCTCTCCACGCAACGACAATTTGCAAGCCTGTAAGGACAGAGTCAATGAAATCCAGCAGTTACCCTCATCTAATGCGCAACAATTGATGACGTCAAGGGAACCTATTCAAGTCCGGTGTTGTTGAAAGATATCGATGAACAAGCACGGAAATGAACGCCACAATAATGTCTGTATGAACAATGGCGTAAGATCATTGGCCCCAGCCCTTTGCCCCAGTGACAGCCTGCACTACACTACAATTTAACATCAATCTAGGAACTGCCATTGTGGTAGTTACTTTCCTTATTCGGTCATTTGTGAGTAGTCTGGCAAATCCTATCCACGACATCTAGAGCCAGGTTTGGCGGGAACTTTGTTCCCGTGTCTAAGGCTGAGATCTGCAGATCTACAGCCGGGTGATATGTCCACTACGTGATTGACCGCGGCTACTTTCAAGATTTTGGCACTGGACTAGAGGCGTCGTGCTAGACGCTTTGAACAGGACGAGTTGATGTCAAGTCTAAGGTGATGGCTGTCAGGGCTTTGAAAGACGGTGGGATAAAGTTAGAGCGCTCGGCCAGTCGAGGCAACTCTTTCTACGGGGTTTCCCATTCACATTGTCAAGATCCATTTCTCTTCTACACAATTACTTCTGCCGTTGCGCCCTTTGCAAATGCTTTCCCAGCAGCTATGTTGGCGGCGACTGCCAACGACCCCGCTTTCAGGCCCGAGCAGCAAAAATCGAGAAGATGCTTAGCAAAAGACAGGCTGGAACAGATGCTGCAACTGGAATCTTTGAGCCTATGAACACATTCAATGCGGAGAAGCAATTCGTCAACATCAGCCGGGGCAGTGGTCACGAGTATGCAGCACCTGGGCCGAATGATCTCAGGGGTTCATGTCCAGGTCTCAACGCCTTTGCCAACCACGTGAGTGATACATCAACTGTACTCTGGAATTAATAGGCTGACCAACCGAAGAACTTTCTGCCACATAATGGTTATGCTAGTGTTGCACAGTACATCGAGGCAACTCAGAAAGTCGTCGGTATGGGCCTGTTCTCGCAACCTTCCTCTCATCGTTCGAAGGTGCCCTCGACAGTGACCTATTGAACTGGTCCATGGGAGTTACACGCTCCCTCGCTCAAGGAGGAGTGACTGTCCAGCTAGGAAATGGACTCTCTGGATCCACAACAAGTACGAAATAGATGCAAGTCCCACGAGGCCCGATTTGTACGAAGCGGGAAACAATTACAAGACTGTTGGAGCACAATTTCAACAATTGGTCGATGCTTCGCCCGCCGGTCAAGTCACCCTTGATTCATTGACAGCATTTCGCTCCCACCGATTCGACACCCAGATCAAGAACAACCCTGACTTCTTCAACGGCCCATTCGCTGGAGTTTTGGTGCAACCTGCTGCGTACACCTTCATCTTCAGATTCATGGCAAACCACAGAGCGGAGTTCCCTGCGGGACGTCTGGACTATGCTACAATTCAGTCTTGGTTCGGTATTAACGGCGAGAGTGGAAGCTACACCGCTACTCAGGGCGCCGAACGCATTCCTGAGAACTGGGTTGGTTTTGCAAAGGGACCATTATTTGAAAATTATCACTGACATCAAATCTTAGTACCGTCGGGCACTCGAGTACCCATACGAGACCAACTACTTCCTTGCTGATACAGCAAATGCTGCCCGGCTCCACCCCAAGTTTCTCAGCATTGGAGGGTATGTCTGCCTCCATCACCAATTGGTAATCTCATGCTGACACGTCTTAGAAACACTGGCAAAACCAACACCTTCACTGGCGTCGACGTTGCCGATATGACTGGAGGCGTCTTTAACGGCCGCACGCTGCTTGAGGGCAACAGCTTCTCTTGCTACGTCTACCAGTTGTTGGCCCAGGCTAAGCCTGATATTCTTCTTGGTGCACTCAACGGTCTGACAAGCGCCATCGGCAATGTCATTGTTGCTCTGGCGTGTCCCAAGTTGCAGAAACTTGATGCAAGATTGCTCAAGCAGTTTCCCGGTCACATCAAGCAGGCGGTTTATGGCCAATAGTTGGGCATTTAGACGGTCTGGTTCCAGGGATCGAGTACACCGTGGAGAGAAGCCAGAGCGTGTGATAATTCATGCTGTTGTACCATGTATATATGAAACCATTTATTACGAGAGCTTTAAGATTACATTTTGAGACAAACGCGTGCGCCTGGTTCAATGCCTCGGCACAAGTGACAGGTTTTTCTATGATGACTGCTTCTCACCCTCGATAAAGTCTCGAATCGTCTGCTCCAATCCTACATCCTCACTGAAGCCAAGCTCTTTCGCCCTTGCTGTATTATACTTCGCAGGCCAACTCAGCACAATCGTTTGTGTCTTCTCATCCCTCTTCTCTTTGACCAATGCCCTCGTTTCTTTCCCAGCAACCTTTTCCAGCGCGTCCAAAATCTCCGCACTCGTCGCCGTATATCCCGGCAGCAAAACCTGTCTAAAGTGACCAAACTTCTCTGCAGGCACCTTGATCGCATGAACCAAGTTGGTAGCCAACGCCCGTGGTGAAGTGAGCCAAATCCCAATGCTGGGATCCACAGGTAATTCACTCTCCTGGCCGTGAATCGGCTCGCGCACGATGCCCGACACAAACGACGACGCAGCCGCAGTCGGTGCACCAGCGCGCACAAAGACCGTCGGAAGTCGACACGTTCTCCCATCAATCAACCCACGGCGCGAATAATCATTGAGCAAGAACTCAATCATGAGTTTCTGCGTCCCGTAGCTCGACTCCGGCATCGGGACTATATCTGTCTCCGTCGCCACATTCTCCACGGCTTTGCGGCCAAACACGGCACACGACGACGTGAAGACGACTTTGATGCCTGGGCGCTTGGTGCGGATGACATCAAGCAGCTGGCGCACAGATTCAAAATTTACTTTGAGCCCGAGTTCGAGATTGGCCTCGGACCCGCTCGACATGATACCGTGCAGGATGTAGACGGCATCAGGTGACTGCGCGATCAAAGCCTCGCATGCGGAGAGTTGAGTGAGATCTGAGGCAGTGCATGTGACGTCCTTTGCAGTCGTGGGATTGGAGGGCTCCTTTACGTCTGCGAGGATGAGGGACGTCGCGGTGTTGGTTTCAACGAGCTTTTTTGCGAGGATCTGGCCTACGAAGCCGCCTGCACCGGTGATGAGGACCTTCATGTTGTCGTGTGAGATAGTGGAGTAGTGGCACTGGTATCTTCTGTTGTTCGTGTATGTCAGGTGGTTTGAAGAACGGCTGTATCATGTAATGCGGCTGGGGGTAGACAAGGGCAGCGTTTATGGTGAACTGGGTTCGGTCAGAATGCCGGCGAAAGGTGGGGGGGAAAGTGTGGGGAACGGCGCTTGTGCCGATTTGGTTGCTCCGACATCGATCTTGACGACATTCTATATGAACGTATTCCTCAAAATGTTTCTTGGCTAAAAAGATCTTCAATTTGATTGGAAAATGGACTACTCGTATAATCATAACCCATGTTCACTCGACCTGTTCAAGTAGGCGGATGCTTGTTCTACCCCCAGTGGGCGTCAAATCTACTCGTGTACCGACGTCGTTATCCAGTAATATCACGAAGTCAACTGATATACACTATGCATAATCCTTTGAGATCGGGAGGAATACAAATACCGGTAGAACGTAGTGCATAGATTATTATGTAACTCAGATCCTTAGCCCCACTTACACAACCAAGGACTTCCCTTGCTAGTATGAAGATCGCCCAACGGGGTTTGCATAACCAGGTAGAATGCATCAAAATATTTCCCTTTTTCGGAAATCTCTGTTGGATCCTCAGTCAGTGATATTTATCCCGAAGAATGCGACATCTTCTGCTGTGGACTGCTACATCTAGTCTTGAAGATGATTTCTTTTCGCACACAGGATGTAATCTGCTTGAAAATGGACTTAATTTGTATAATCTTTACAATGGCTCCAGAACTGACACCCCTCCTCGTGAATTCTCTATTCTCCTTTGTCTACAGGAATACTTCTGGCTTTACTGCCCTTGATAAGATTCTTGGTAGAATGATGGGAGACTTCAAACCTACAGGACGAATTGTACCATCACTCCTTGTCATTGTATGTGTAGAACAATGAACAGGAGCTTGATTTTGGCCGCCTTTAATGTGAAAAACTCAAGAGAACGGGACGTTTTGGTGACACAAGTGTGCTTTATATAATACATTGTACATGACGACAGAACTAAGCTAATATCGTATCTTGCTAATATAATAGATCTCAATGGTCCACGCGATCATGGAAGTAAAAGCTTCCGGACATCGAATGTGTTGACATCATGAGTAGGAGAGGCGAAAGAGAGCGTGAATCCCATAGTACTATTAACCATGACATTGCTGTATGAGAGTGCCTTTTTGTCTATCAGTCAACGCGTACTACTTTCCGATCCAATCGTTAGGTGAGCGAAAAAGACGCTATCACAGTAGTTAGCATCAAGTAAGCCAAATCTTCTTAGCCAAATTTGTGAGATCCTTGCGCTAATTGATTGATAGATATCGGCTTGGCATTTTCAGATATTCGAATACAACACGTCTAGGATAAAATTAAGAGCATATCGGTCTCTGTGATAAATTGTTGGAGGTGTAATGTGAGTGCGTGTTTACATGCACCGGAAAGTCTTGGCCAACCTAAAGCGGACAGACTACAACTACATGCAGAAATTGGTGACAATCACAAGTGTTGCAGAACAGCACCACGATAGTGTGCTCCCTCAGTTGATAGACCAGGAAATCCTTCTTGGAGCTCATCGCCAGCTTGTGATCGGCACAACAGCAGGTCACATGCAGCTTGTTTCGCCTGGAGCGCATGGTGTACTGACCGTGACCCTCTGGGCACCAAGCTTTGGGCTCTATATATTTGAGCTCTATCTTGATGATTAAATCCAATGATCCATCTAACAACTGATTCTTGAGTTCAGTGATCACGCCTTCAACAACAAGTGTATACCATAGTATTGCGGTGACAGCTCACGGGAGCAATTTCGACTAATATATACAACGTCGCATACTCATGTTACCATGTCGTGGCTGGACTGATCATGATTCAAAATACCCAGAGAGTCAATCCTCGCTGGTCTCAACATCAAGCCTACTAGGTCTACCCTACGTTCGACCCTACCTTCATTGCACATCGCTTCGGACGCCATGGCATTGAGCTGGCTGCAAAATTCGAACGATTCGCCTCTCATTATGCAAAATTTTTACAACACTTCCTTAAAGTTACTTCGCCTACTGCCGTTTCTTGTGCCCACGCAATCTTACCCAACTTGTCTCGATTTTGCGGTCTCTGGTAGCTTCTTCGCTGTATCCGCGACTATCGGTGCCATTCAAACTAAATCTGATACTTCCTTGGCACAATCGCATGTATAGCCTTACCCAATTGGTGTCCTACTGGTTGAATCTATAGTTCTCCCGTCGCTCCGCGTTCAAATACCACAGGGTGGATACGCGCCATGGGTATCCACTTTGAGGTATTTGCACGGCGGTAAATTTGATAGGTCATTCTCATTCAGGCTCTGAAGGACAGGTATACATCGCTCTGTTGAGTTACCTATGCACTGTCGGACTTCCAACACTGGAAGCGGTGAAGCACCGCATGCCAACCAATTCAGCGAGAAGATGCCAGACTGTTGGCTACCCTTCATCGAAGGTCTTGTGCCCGGCTTATCGGTGCTAGGTGGAGATGCAAATGTGCCTGAAGGCGAAACGGCATTGATTATATGGTCTCGTGCGTTTGATGGAGCATAACATGCTCGATATTCCGCGTGACAGCAACACTGGAATGGCTTGCCTTTCACCTTCTACCAACGTCGTTTGTATGTTTGGTAAAATCTGCTGATGTTTTGCAAGTTTCTAGAAGTGGTAGGATCAAGCGCCCATTACGTCGTTCGGTTGCAGCACTGCGATGCCTTTCACTTTGGGATCACTGCGCTGAAAGCCCCACACCCACACCACCTTGCATCTTAGCATATACATTCTAACAAGTGTGCTTCTCCACCAAGCCGTAATCAAACTCTTCTCGACTAACATAATCTTCTCTAAGCTCCACGTAGCAATTTCTCAGGCGCACCGTTCGCAAATGCCAAAACGTACGCAGCTTGAGCTATACACATATTCAAAGACTAACCTGACCAACTGCAGCTTGATAAACAGCTATCAACATGCCCTGTCGAGACGAGCACCCTACTCGCGAGAATAACAATTGGCGACAAGGTCAGAATCGACTTCGCCTTCGCGAAATAACCCAGCGATGGCCCAGCTATATCCAGAAGGTCCAGAGAGCCAGGTTCCTGCGACTGTGTCTTAAGAACAGGATGCGTGTCAATAAATGGAAAGATAGACAGTGCAGGGCATTGAAAGCGGAGCTCGGTGAGCTCATCAGGAGGTTCACTGCAGACCACTCCTCCGTCACACCTCAAGATTGGGACACTGCCGTCGGAGGGGAGATCTGGAAGGTGGAATGGCTGTACCGCAGAAAAAGCCCACACTACCCAAACACACGAGCAACATGGCCGCCCGAAATTTCCTATCTGAACCTCATCGCCTGGGCCAGCTACGAGACACCAGAGCAGGCACGAACACGAGAGCGAGAGCAAGAGCGGCGGAAGAACGCACAAGCAAATGAGAGGCTGGTAGCGACAGTGCAATGGCGCGACTTTCTCAATAGACTCTACCGCGTTCAAAAACTGCTACACCACTTACAAATTCTGGACGCAGTTTATGCAGATACACGGAGCAACATTCCTGCCGCCCATGTTGCTCGCACCTCCATGATGCGACAAGTGAGTCAGGTAGACACCTTCTACCGACAGCTGATGACAATGCCGTCCCCTCATCCCGTATACTGGGATAAAGATGACATATGGCGGTGGAACGAAGTGCAGAAGCAGCAAGAGCTTGCCAGACGGTATCTGGTGCTCCGTACACTCTGTGCACGAAGCCGCATTGATCCCTTCTCGGTCAGAATGTCAGAGTGGGTGGATGCGACTGAGGGCACGACCGCTGGGCGGATGTTTCCTGGGGCTAGGGTCCGGATTGCGTTTTCCAAGCACATGAAAGAGATCTTGGAGCGGAACCCGAATATCTCACTGGCGGAGATGGTGGAGTCGTGGGATGTGGTCGTGGCAGAGAAGGGAGAAGAATGGGTGTATTGGTAGGACTGGCGGAGTAATTTGTATTTCGATGTAGACTACCTGGCCTCTGACATTGGAGTAGACATGTAATTGTAATTTTTAACGGGCTGGTAGACTTAGGAGCAACAGTGTGAGCGATGGGAGTTGCGACCTCCTCTCTGTATATCAACATGTATCTGCCCTACTCCTAACATCCATTCTAGAACCGTACTAACCATGATAGACAATGAACACCCAATACCCATATCACCGAGGGCTACAGCTTCAATCGCAGTCGAAACCGCATCACCACCCAAGTTAAGCAAAACCTTTCCATCGCCTCCAATACCCACCTTCCCATCACGCATCCTTCTCCGCAACCGTCACAACCAGCCCCTACCAGTATCTACCACATATCTGCGTTCCCCAACAGACATCCCGCTATCCATCACACGATCCCGCTCCACAAACCAGGCAAAACAAATGGCAACATGGCACCAATACCACCCCTTCCGACCGAACCACAAACACATCCTTAGCACCCGCCGCTCAAGACTCCATCCCGCACTACACGCGGCCACCGCTCTATATACCAATCCGGAGTCAAGCAAGCCAGCGCCTCCTTAACACGAAGACACTGAACAGCGTCGACAAGGAACAATTCCTGTCTATTATATATTCCAGAAGATAAAGACTCTCGAGACAGCCACGAGATACAACTCGCTTGTCGTTTCCAAAATCTGATTTCAACCAAAGAAGATGAAATGCGAGTAGAGCTAGATGGTATTGTATACAAACGTGCAAGATATACGGGTGATTGTGATGCTATGTTTCGGGTCCGGGTCAGTGGTGTGTTAGGTATGACAATGCCAGTATTGAGAATTTCCATGTTCGTATGTTTAAGTTGTATATACCATACCCGAACAAATCCAATTAATCCAACCAAGCAGCTACAACCAGCGTCGCCAGAGCCCCGCGAGTTTGTCTTGGTAACTATGATGGGAATGTGAGTGTGCCTTGTATGCCATCTTTTCACTTCTGTCCCAAAATAGGAATCTTCTCTCCTCTAAGGGATTATCAGACTTACAGCCTAGAAAACTCCACACTATGCATTACCAAACTCCACAGCGACTCGACGATAGACAGCGCAATAGCCCACCCAACCTACCATACGGTATACCCCAAGCGCACAATCCCCGCCCTTTGAGTTCCAGCATACCGAGGAAACACTGTATGCCCCAGCATCGCGTTGGAGCGACAATGCACACGCATATTCCAGCCAAGGGGTTTCCACACCCGCCCCGCCCCCGCGGACCACAGTGAAGCAAGCCGTGGCGGTGGTGAGTCGGGCGGGGAAGGGAAACGTCGAGAACGATGTTTATTGTGGTAACAGCGTGGGTAGTGTGAGTGCTTGGTGTGGAAGGGTTCAAATGCGATGGGAGGGGCTGGTGGATGTAGTGTTGGGGTGTTGGGTGTTAGGTCTTAAGTGCTAGATGTGTGAAACAAGGGTGCATTGTTAAAACACAGCCGTGCCGTATATAATAGGGCGTGCTCTGTGAAAACGGTTCGATTTGGCTCAAGTATTACAAATATATATACTCATACCAGACAGCAACTCCCGTTCAATCCACAAAGACGGTGTATCCACACCTCTTCTAGGAATTCGTGACTCACTAGTTCCCCAGGCATCTACGGTACCATGAAAGCGTTTGAGCATGCATGAACTGGCTGTGTTGTGGTGTATGTATGGATGTATACAGTCGCTGTCCTATCCAACACCAACACCGAAGCTATTATAAGTACCCACACCATCTCCATGCTTCAACGAACTGGTGGAAATTCGCCATGGCTGTGCATAATCCGTCTTGATACTGATACCGTGCCAACCAACACAACGCAAGGGAAACTTCATCACCAAGCAGACGGCCTGGCGAGAAAGTCAAGAACGGCCCATCAGCATGCCAAAGTATTAGTACGTATGCCGACGCATGTCCGTATCCCTATACATATCCATTCATACGCACAGCCAAAAACACATCCCCAAAACCCCATCACCACAAGGCAACCCCTCATCCCCATCCCCTCCCAAACCCCCAACCACCACCGCATCTAGAACTACAATCGCCCCCTCCCCTCCCTCCCAGGCCCCACCCACCAACCGCTTACACCAGTAAATCCACACAGTACAAACCACCTACATCACCTACACCACTCTACCCGCCCATTCCCATCCCCCCACCCAGCAGATCAATTACCGCGTTGCCACAATTCCGCCACGCCTCACTCCGATTGATCACCACTCGCTTACTCACATACAGCCCGGCGCCCCTAGTCCTCGGCGCTTTTACGTCGGCGATACCCAGACTGGGGGTGAGAAATGGCAGAGAAGGGGTGAGGGGGCTCGGTTCGGGGGAGGATGGGTGGGCGGTGATATGGAGGGGTGGTATGGGGATGGGAAGGTTGGGGGGTGTGTATAGGGGGGATGTTGTCTATGGTGTAGTATGGCTATATGGCTCTATGCCTACGGTACTTTGTACGCTATGCTACGATATTTCCACACGATTACAAGTAACGGCGACGCCAAGGACGGGGTTTCCTTTTGCACTGTGCACTGCGCACCGTTGGATGCCGTCGGCTTTGATGGTGGGGAATCACGGCAGCTGAAACGATAACGCTAAGGAAGCGGTGGTATTGGGGCTGCTAATTGGCCTTGTGGGAAATGGGGGGGACATGGATGGGCTGGCGGGATAGAGCAACGGTGCCTGTATCCTTGATGGTATGGATGTATGTATGGTGTGGTCGTGTAGGTAGGTAGCGTTCTCCGTTGTCCGTTGAGGCGAGTGAAGCGGGCGGTCAACTCGCGAGAGCCGCCCATATTCCCAATCTAAGTAGCTTTGTTGCGGCAGTTTGCCTTAGTGTTGCGCTATGCTGTGGACTCTCTTGCCGTGTACACTCTTCTCTATTCATAACCACCGCCGCCGTTATTCTGCACACAACGGTCACTAGGCCGAAAGTGTCACGGTGCGATCCCAAGCCTACTAATTCGGGATACCCGTCCGTTCAGATACAGTCATCTCCTTCAACACCAGAAAGAGGCGAATCCGCAGAAAGGATTGGATGGCTGACTAGGGGTCGAAAACCTGATTTGCGATTCTGCAATGCAAAGAGAGAGAGAAAGAGAGAGAGGGCTGGATATAGATTGTGGGTACCACATCTTACGAACTTGTGTGATGGGGGCCCATTGGGCGTTGAAGATGGGTGTGGATAACGTCGGCTTTTTGGGAGGGGAGGTGGGGAAAACGCGGATTCGCTTTCAAAAACGCACCACGGCCATTTCAGGTATCGAGATCGCTAAACAAAAAGCAAGGTAGATACTCCTCTTCCTTCCCAGCATCATCCTGATTCCTCAAAGCAATATCGTTGGCTGGAAGCAGAAAGCAAGTTGCGCAAAGGGGCCAAGTGTATGTCCGCGAGCCTGCAATGATGGACTGATTGGAGCAGCGGGCTTGTACGATTCAAGATTTGACTGATGAAAATGGTTAACAAATGCGGGACCGTCGGACCTGTTGTCAGCGTCAGGCAGGATGCGGGACCGTCGGACCTGTTGTCAGTGTCAGGCAGGATGCGGGTAGGTAGGTAGCTGGCAGATGCATCAGCTAGCCACGCGCAGTTGTCAGTTTGCCACGCGCAAAATCCTGCATCGATTTGACGCATCGAAGCACTCTGTATCGTATGCGCGCCGTTGGCTAGCTTACCTTCGTACTGGGAACCACAAACCACTGTGCGTCCAGAGTTGGGGGCCGGCCCATCCAGATTCAGAGGTCAGCCTCGCGAATTACTGTAATGGGGGTTTGTACGAGGACATACATGTGGCTTGTGTACCTCGGTTTCCACAAGTCGACCACTGGATCGCCTGCATCCTTTCTCGCTTTGCTATGTTGACTTGCCGTACACCGCCCGCTTTCTTTACCAGGGCAGACGAGACGGACAGATCAACCAACGGCTTACTACTCTGACAAAGGACTCACAGGGCGCCTTGCGTGGTAGAATTGTGACAAACAGAAACACTGCCAGAGCGACCGCTGGCTAGGTATCTGTGTGTTCACCGGAAACAACAGACAGATGACGCCTCAGGGCGGTACCGCGGCAGTAGTGCATCCGAGCACTCCATCCCACTACGTGGGCGACGAGAAAAGATGCCAAATGGTAAGCTGGAAGGCTGCTGTGAGACCGGCGCTGCCTCTGCACCACTGCCCCAACCCAACCCGACCCAACATAACATTCCTCTCCTGCAAAATGGATAATGCAAGGCGCAACCCGGATAGCCCGTCATAGCACGCGTAGTTATTGCGCAAGGGATTCACCTGAAATGACCATGTTCATATCCCCACCACCTAACGTGAGGCTCCAAGGCCTGCCCTTCTCCCTCCCTATGTCGATGGCCATGTGCAGCGCGGCACTCGCGATGGAAATCGAAAAGCCAGGCCTGCACCGGTGTCCTGCAGCCAGACGCGAGCTCCGATGTAAGTGCCTACCGCGCAACGTCCAAGGCTCGCACGAACAGAGTGCGGGTCGGAGTGAGGATTTTCTTCGGGCCTATATATAGACTTGGTTTAGCGTTGAGCAACGGTTTTCCCTCGTGGTTCCTTGGGCTCTTCTCGCTTGCTCTTCTCGCTTGCTGTTTCATGGTACCCAGCTACTTTTGTGACTGAGAAAAAAGCCGACAGTGGACGCAGCTCGCCTCGGCCCGCCTATGCAAAACCGATTGGGGATAAAGGTGCGAACCGACAACAGCCGTTGTTGCGTGCGTGTGCTGGCTAGGAAACGCCAAGCTATGTGTCCCTTCACACCCGGCTTTTGCACGGTAATATGTTCTCCTGGGTGAGATTGAGGAAGATGGACAACAAGCCGCAGGCTTCACGATAGGAACGCGGGTGGGGGAGGGAGGAAATACCCTTGGCCGCTTACATACAGAGCATACACCCCCAGATTCTCGCAATCTGAAGCAAGCAGCCGACTATCCGCCCAACTTCGCGTGGTCGAAAGTTCGTGTGCGTGGTGTAACACTTCGAGAGGGATGGAAGGTCGGACAAGCCGTAGCTGACGTTGACCCGAGTGCGAGGACTCGGGTTCGCTTTGCCTGTGTTCACTGGCTAGCGGGAAGCCGGAAACACAAGGGGCGCCGCTCTTGCGTCTCTGTTGGCGGCACGAGAGAGAGGGAGTGTGTGTGTTGGCCAACAGGCGAACAGACCCTGTCAAGCTGATGGGTAGGGCTTGGAAAGACGCGCCTGGCTGGAATAGGATGAGAATAGGCTCAAAGTGCAATGGGCGCGCTGCACAGAAGAAAAGACGAGGTGGGGACAGGTCGAAGAAACCTCAGGGATGTTGTGCATTCAGCTGTGGAGCGAGAAATGAGGGCGTTTGTTTTGTATCAACAGGCAGGCAGAGGCAGGTATAATCGTTCCGTGCGTCTGCATTGGTTTCCAAAGTTGCGTGCATCGGTGTGGGCGCAAAACAGGAACGGTCGTTCTTCGGTCTGTACGGACGCGAGATTGTATGTATGTACATAGACCACCTTGTACACCCGCTTTCTGCGTTACTCCAAGCCTTTGACATGGCCTTGTGTGTAACCTCCTGCACTCTAATTACCTTCGTTGTATTGTTCCGCCATTCAGCGGCCTCAGGGCTGATTTGTGCACTGCCTTTGTATCCATGGCTGCAGTGACAAGGGGTGCATCCCGTAGCTTTGGGTTTCTTCGTAATTGCGGCGCAGTCACTCCAGGAAGTCCAACGGTCGCGGACCGGACTCCGTGAGAGGTGTTGCATGAGCGTGGGATGTCCAGGGTAGCTGTCGGCCGCTGACATGCTTTAATGGTCATATAGATATAACCTTTTGTGCTGTGGTGGTACCTCTTGAGCAGTCAGCCTTGGCCAGGGATGGTGATGGACTAGTCAACTTTCGACCTCCATTTTTTGGCCGAGTGTGCTTGTAAAATAGCATTTGGACTCCCTACATGATAAGATGTCTTTTTGTAATGCTATTCAGTCTCGTAGTTTGGCGGTATTTATGGTACTGATGGCTCAGCAAACTCGGCTTTCCCCAGTAATCACCTGGTGGGATCTGACAGATCATAATGATCACACGTCTATTGCTTCGTTCCACATACCTACATGACATAAACCGGGAAAGACTTGTGTGCAGCACACTGTCCTAGAAACATGCGTGAGACCCAGACCGATAAATCCGGTAATCATATCCCACAGCTCGAAGGATTCAGCTTGCTCCTGCCCACATCATGTGGAGGTTGAAGCGCAGACCCGACAGTCCAGTCATATTGGTTTGGGGAGCAAATTTGCACTGGGCCAATGTAGGCTGCAGGCTGTGATGTGTTTGTGGTCAAAGATCTACCATGTGCAGGTCAGTCAGACGCTTTTGTTTATGTGGTGCAGGGGGGATAGCGCAGCAATGTAAGAGAACAGTGCGGTCGTAGACCTTGGAGAGACGAGAAGCTGCAAGGTTGCAGCTGTAGAGTAAGGGCAATGCATCTCATGGATTTATCCAGAACCTCATTTGAGAAGGATCGAAAGGTATTGGTGATATACTCCATTTCAATGTGTCGCTCGGTCAACCACGAAAGGTGTCTGAATAGATTAAGTTCCGATCATGACGCCGAACAGGATGATTCCGTAGCCTTACAAACAATTACCCATTCACCAGATGACCACCTTCAATAGACCATACACTCTTCTGTAAACATCAGCAGATGTCTCAAGGTGGCGACATGCAGGAATGGCACATACCAGCCCTCCAAAATCCATCTCGACTCTTCATCCCAAAGAACGCAATGTCAGCCAACTCGTCCCATGAATAAACACGGACCACGTACATTATTCACCTGCCTCCATCAGGAAAATTCCCCACTTTTCTCAAAGGCAATATGTATTCCAATTAGACAATGAAGTCGCCGTCCAGAACAGAGTAGTATCCTATTCGTATTCCCTCCTGATGATTGAAGACATCTCCGAGTGGAACAACGGCAAGTCAAGCTAGCAAAGCTCGGTTCGGCATATCTTGCAGCAAACTCATTCCGAGCAACTGGATGTGCTGTACGCTAAAGACCAATTTGCCAGGACACAGCCATTTATCAAACTATTGCGTGTGGGCAGGTGCTGATGAGGGCCAGAAAAGGAGTTATGCTGGAAGAAGGATGAAAGGTCCTGGCACTCCTTTGCACGGTTACTCGACGCTCTCTAGTTGTACTAAGAGTATGTAGCTGGGACGCCTGGGCTCCGATGGAGGAACTTTATTGCACCGTTACTCGGCTCACTCACGTGAATATATGTTCAATCGGTGTCTTGGCATGGAATGATAGATTAGCAAAAAAAGATGATCAGTCAGTACGTGTTCGAGCGAGAGTTTAATTGTGCGTTGAAGTAACACTACTGCACGTTTGAATACTACGATACCATACGCTTTGATAGTGTCACGCTTGTCTTGTGCAAAACCCCAAAAGGGCAGTGTGGCAGACTCCACGCTCAGAATCCATTCTCGTAGATCTTGGACGCAAGACGAGTCTATCGATTGACGAGGCTCACATTCGCAGTGTCGTCAGAAGTGAGTTCCTTGACGGGTTACGACAACGCTGCCCCATTGGGGACCCCAATTTGACCAATTTGTCACAAACTTTGCTTGGGCATCTAGGCTGGGGAATATACGGCAGGTTTATGCTTTCTCAAGTGTTATTGAAAACAAAAGAAAACACACACAGCACGGTTTCGCTTCGCCTGGTCGAACGGCGGGTCTGGCCCGGCTCTTCAACGGGCGTATCCGCGTTAGCACATGCTTCCCGCGAACATGCCCTGGACAAGAGACAGAGTTAAGCAATGACGCTACGGGTCGCTTCTAGCTCTTGATTTGTCGCTATGCTGGACTTGCCGTCATGATTACCATTTTTTTGGAGAGGACTTCGGCGAGGTCAGTCGTGCTTTGCGCTGTGCTTGTTTTCGTGGTGCTCGGCATGTTGATCGTGATCAGCGCCACTGCAACGACTCGGCATTCTTGCACATCCGCCTCTCCACAGGTACGGCGGCACACAAAAGGGGATCCGAGCACGGTTTGTATATTGGATGGTTGAAGTGTGTAGGTGGATGCTTAGTGTGGCAATATTATTCCATTCAGCCACGCAGGATTTGCACTGGTAATTTGGTAGGTGTTGGCTCTAGTGCGTGATCCTGTCTAACTCCACCCTGGGTGTGGGGGGTCATCTCGAGAGATCATGAGGCAGTAGGTAATGTGTGGACATACAATAGTGACGTCGCGAGGGATGTGACGACTCTTGCGGAAGAAAGGGGGTTGAAGTGGGGCATGTCGATCCGATTCGGCAGGCGACTCAGATCTGAAAGCTAAACGGCTTTCCCTTGCCCTTGCAAGCGTGCATGTGGCCTTCAACCAGTGTAGAACGATGCACACAGAGTGGGTGTTAGCGTGTGCGTCATGAATTGAACGACGAGTCAGCCATTACTGTCTGTAGGGAGTGCTCTGAGGTGCAAAATGACCCACTGCAGGGGCACGTCCGGGATCTTTGTGAACATGGCCTGGCTTGGGGGCGAGCTGTCGCGAGACTCTGCTCCTGACTTTCGGGGAGCACATCTAGAGTATCGCTGGGTGCTCTAGGTAGGTGGACACGTGGGATGCGGGTTGGACTGGATCCTTGGCGCGATCGAGAGATCGAGATGATTGCCTGACCGCCAGTTGCCAGTTGTCCCGCTGTCAAAAGCCGTGAGTGAGCGAAGGAATTGTCTCGTTCGTTGTACAATACAGTACATATATAAACATGGGCTCCACACACAACCTGGAAAGTAATACATGAGAGTACCACACCGACAGCCAGTGCGAGACCGAGGATGCATGAACAAGGGAGGAAAAGCAACAAGGTGTGCGTGCGTGGATGGGCTAGTTTCAGACAAATGGGTGCAGCGGCTGAGTTTCCATTGGCTCGGGGCCGATCACTCGTTAATCTGATCTTTGGGATCTGTGCTGGGGTTCCCTGTATGTATAGACCCGCGCAAGAGGCTAGAGCGGCAATGCGAGCATTATGTACATAGATTGCGTACTTGCTTTTCTTGCTGCTTGACATACCTGGATTCTTTTGCTTGTGTATTGTGTATAGATGCCAGCAGTTGCTGCAGACTGTTGGCTTACCACCACAGATAGGTACCGATACGTCGCGTGGCAACAGCGAAAAAGAACCCGGGTACCTTGGAGGTTTTGTTCGTGCCAAGGCGGGCCAGATAGCAGCCTTGGAGCGCTTTTGCTCGTGAGTCGTGAGTACGTTGCGACATCTCGTCTGCAAATCGTCATGACGCGCCGGTAGTATCATCAGTGCTGCGCGACCAATATTGTTCCACAACTTAGCGATCTCGCAACGAGATCCGACTCCCATCCGTTGGCCTTTCCGTGACCTGCTCCTCGGGTGCATGATGGCGAGTCCGCACCCTATCTAAGGCCCACCGTGGCGTTCGGAGGAGAGGCGATGGAAAGCTTGCAGGGTACAACATCCTGTCCATTTCCCTCAACGTGTTTGTCGGGAGGTAGTTTTCCCCAGTCCCTCCCAGGCAAAACTTTGCTGTTAAGAAAGACCAATATCCATGACAGGCCGTGTTGTCACCTTGCCTTGATGTCATTGACTGATCGGCCTCGAAGGAGCACATGGCAGGGTTTCGACAGTAAGGATCTCGTATCAGAACACGGTGCAGAATCGAAATAGGGCTCCACTCCCCGCCCGAAGATATTCGGTCGGGTACAGGCCGCGCAGCATTGTACAGAACCGAAGAAAAGCGTGGTGGACACAGAGGCGTGGCCAACCCATGCTAAGCAACACGGAGGCACTTTTGTTCAGACATTGCAGTGGTCACGACAGGAGCCACGTCTCGAACTGCTGGAACGGCCGTTGGTCCCAGGAGACGGGTTCTGGCAACGAAAGAGCTTGGTGAACGCTTCTGCTGGAGCCTGTGGAGCACCGGCTTACCTACCAGCTACCAATGCCAGTTTTGAGACGAATTAATTTGTTCTCTATTTTGTCCTATAGACTGTTGTAAGCGGTGGGATAGAGACAGGCTGGGTGGCTGCAGCCGCCCAACCTCTCGCTCAAGGCGGTCGGTTTAGCTTAGGATCGTGATGGCCATGGGGGGCGGACAGAATGCAAGGCATACCATTCACCATGTTCGCAATCGCTTTCCACCCCGGCTTATAGTGGCCAGGAGCTGGACTAGGATGCTGGTTTCGCTGGGGATGGTGGATACGAAACGGAGGGGACGGGGGGCCTCGGCCCACAAGCATGTAATCTACCCATTCCATGCACCAACAGAACATATACACAGATAGATCGCATCGCTATGTCCAAATAGACAGACGCAAATAGGATGGACCAGGGCAGCCGTTGAGCTAGACAAGCCACAGTGTACAGGCAAGGCCATGAATGAAAAAGATCGAGAGAATGGACCCAGGTAAGTGAACGGCGAGGTCGCTGGATTTGTGCGAGGATGCAGCAGACGCGGCTGAAGAAGCATGGCGAGAGACAGTCATCCGGAAAATGAGCGAGCCGTGGGGCTAGCCTCTCGCTTAGGGGGCGACGCTTGGCCCAGAGCGGGCGAGGGTGTGAAACCCCAGATCAGGCTCACCTGGCCACATGAACATCTAGTAATTGAAGTGAGGCACTTGGCCAAGGCCCAAGACTGCGCCGCAACTTGCAAGCCTCAGCACGGAGAAATGTAGGTCCCTACGTAGGCCTGTACATAGAGCTAGGTAGCTAGAGTCCTGTGCGTGGAAAAAGGGCGTGCGATGGGATTGGAAACGAGGCTGGCCCGACTCTGGCACTCTGCTTGCGGCAGCAGCACCAGCAACAACAACAACAAGGGTCACCGTCGTAAATGGCAGCCATAGACAGGTGGACGTGCCTCAGGTAGAGTACCATGGTACCGGTCAGTACATGGCATAGTAATACTAATACATACGGTGTACCTATGGAGCATAGCTCCATACTGTTCGGTAGAAGCACAACCAGCAGCACACCGCACAGCCCATCATCATCCCCAGGGTCAGCATCAGGATTCAGGGTCAGGGCCACAAGGCAGAGCGGATTCAGTACTCCATACCTAGCCGCACGCTCCCAGCATCCCAAGACTGAGCTGAGGCCATGGATGACGGCGTAGCAACATGTTTGTGTGTGTATGTGTAGAGGTACATAGGTACAGTAGTAGGTAGGGTAGGGTAGGGTAGGGTAGGGTAGGGTAGTGGTAGCTAAGGTTTGATACCTGGATGGACCGTGGCCAGGAGCCATTCCTGAGGCCTGTTCACTCCCTTGCCCACCACTCAGTGTAGGGGCAGGCCAGAACAGGGCCAGAACAGGGCCAGACAGTGTGCTGCATGCAATCAATTGGCCGCAAGCAGGATCGCCATTGGAGGAGCCGCCAGTGGCGAAACAATCGAGATGGGGAACAGCACACACGATCGAGAGCAAGGCGACCAGGCAACCAAACAAAGATCGCCAGCAACGGATCTCGGCCGTGCAATACTTGGACAAGTATGATAAGGTTGCAGGTATTGCACCTAAGCCTTGTACATGCATGGGGGAGAGTCTGCTGGAGAGTGACGATGTGAGTGGAGTCGCGCTTTGGGACAACGCTCTGGCGTTTGGCGAGCCCGTCAGCCGTCGTTTCCTTGTTTGGAGTAAACAGTCCGAGCCTTCCGGAACGGGCAGCGGCCTCTGGTGCGCCCTCGGCCTAAACCCCATTCATTCCAAATGCACCCGTCGCCGCTCAATTCACTGCCTGGGCCCCCCAGCACCACCGCGCCCTCGCTTGCTTTCCACCCAACACATCATCAACGGCATCGTGTTCATCATCAGTATGGTGTGATTTGCATTCTCATTCTTGTTCTCATCATTACGGCCATGGCCGACAGCCAACGCCCTGGCCTTGCTTCTGCCTGCTAACCCTACCCCTTCCCCACCCCCTCCACGCCCCCTCCTCCACTCAACTCCCCTGGCGACTCATTCACTGAGGAGCTGGGGGACAGGGGGTGCACGCCTCACCACCAAGAGGGTTCGCCAGGCACTGCAGCAATCAGAAACACCACGAGTTCGACAGGAGCTCGGTGCTGCGCTAACATCGGGAGAACGACAGGCCTGAAAAGGAGTGTGAGAGTGCCAAGCCCACCTCGCCGACCTCGTGTTCTCCACCCCAAGGGCCGTGACGATCGCACTATTCGTGCCCGGTCCGTCCTCAAGCCTCAGCACCCGTTTGATCGACGAGCAAGTGCTGACCGCAACGTGCATCGTGCGGCGCTCATCCGAAGAGCTGCCTCAGTCTCTCTCTCTCTCTCGGAACACTGCTTCACCAGAAAACACTATCTCTGCCATTCTCTGCCATGCCATCTGCTGCCCATTGTGTGTGTCCTACCGCTAGCTGCAAGACGTCAGGCGTCTATCCGTCGACGCTGTAAGGAAAGAAGGCCATGGGCCATGACCGCCGTCTACAGACGTGTAATTTGGCGGCACATTCCCGGCCATCAATTCAATGGTATACTACCTGCCTACTACCTACCAGGGTGATGGGATGCAGCACTGTCACTACGAAAGCGGTCTTCCAATGACATAGAGTGGCTCTGTGGCAGAAAGCAAAAGGTCCCTTGGGTGGAGGCCACAGCTTCTGGCTGCTGCTGAAGGCTGGCTGAGGCTACTGAACTTTGAATTGAGCCCATGTTTGGTTTTACCGTACGCAGGAGGGAGGGGGCGGATGGAGAAGGACACTTCAAAGCCTCGCGCCGAGTGGGGGTATCATTGACACTCTCCATGCTGTCGTCAAAATATCGACCTGCTGAGCGCCGCCATGAATCGTCAGCGAAACGGCCAGGGCCCCCAGCCTTTCATCGTTGAGGCGCGACCAGGCTGCGCGAGCTGTGGGTCGCGAGCGGGGACGAGCGCTGCTCTGGTCGGGCAGGGAGCGTTGCAGGGTAACTAGTAATTTACTACGGTGCGTCCGGGATGGTAATGCGAAGCTGGCGCGCTTTTGTTTTTTTTGCCGGTCCTGGATGGCGCCGGGCGAGTGCCATACTCCATGCCACGATGTGATACAGGGTACTTGTCGAATCCGACGATCTGGTCCCTATCCAGGTTCATCGCTGTTTGTCTGCGTCGTCGACAGCCCACTGCTGCTCAGGGCCCAGCTAGTCACATTGAGCGCCCCATGACGCCCCAGCTGTCCCGACCACCATCTCACCAGTGCCTTAGCCGCATCCTCTCAAAAGCAGAATCCTCGTACACATCCTGCCCATCCCGAACAAGCCAATAACTCCTCGACCAGCTTGGCGCCTGTGTGCCCTGACTATCCTCCCCGCGCTTCTGTGATATATACCAGTGCTCGCCTCTGCACGTTACCGTTGGTTCCTGATCCAACACCTTGACTACATGCTCTGACATCGATACTACCCAACTAAAACCAAGTCCCTTGCTAATCGTACTCTTCACGGATACTACGAGGTACGTTGTTTTCTGTCCCCGCTCCGTACTCTACTTCGCATCTCACTGGAGATCACATCCTCTTGATCAACCCCTCGTGTATATCAGCCATACATTTATGCCTTGGTTCATCACCATCAATAATTACACTTGCATACTAACGCCTGCCATAGTCAAGGACACCCTACGAACAGTCTCCTAGTCTCATTTGGGTTTCTACGACAATTCAATCCCATCACCATCAACCCTCTGGACAGTCCTTACTGTGCCGTTCTGTTCAGGCTCTCTCTCAACCTGTTCCGACGGGTACCTTGCCCCTCCCCCAAAAAATCATTATGGTTGCCCACCGACGTGGTCCATGGTCACAGCATGAGGATCAGTGGCTAGTGAACTTGGTCGCCCGCAACGGTCCTCACAACTGGGTTCGCATTTCACAAGAGATCGGCTCACGGTCACCGAAGCAATGTCGAGAACGATACCACCAAAACCTCAAGCCATCACTGAACCACGACCCGATCACCGCTGACGAGGGTGAGCTTATCGAGAAGATGGTTGCAGAGATGGGCAAAAGGTGGGCAGAGATTGCCAGGCGATTGAAGGGACGCAGCGACAACGCAGTAAAGAACTGGTGGAACGGCGGCCAAAACCGCCGCAAGCGTAATCCCGATCGTCCTGAACACCGAGCCCCGCAAAAACATGCATCAAGAGCAATGTGGCTATCACTACCT